TGTGACACACATACGTGTATATGGCGCGCCCCGGTTTTCCTCTGCTCCGTCTCTCTCTCTCTCTCTCTTTCTCGCACCCGCGAAAGGATCGTTAGCGCAAAGTACGCGACCTACCTACCTACCTACCTACCTAACGTCGGAAGGATATCCGTTCGAAAAGGTCAAGAGTTGCTTCTCCCTTTGTTCCAGCGCGGAAGTTATTTTCACGCTCCGTCGCAGAAAAATACAAGAGAGATATCTTCTCTCTCTCGTCGATCGAAAAGTAGTAGTCGCTTTAGCGAGAGTCTCGCGAATCTGCAATTTTCTGACATATTTTCCTCTCTTTTTCGGTCTGATTTCATCATCTACTTTTATCATGCATTTCTCTGAACTTTGACAGCTTATCGGAAACCATCGAATATTGGGATCTTTTAATGATAGCACATGCGATTCTCTTTGTATTCTTTTATATTCACGACCAAAGCCTTTCAACGACGCGGATCTGCGGATTACACAGTCTTGAGATTATCTTCTATCGGATTATGAATTAGAATAGATAGAAGCCGGCAGTTTATCGCGAGCAAGGATTAGTTTGAAATATCACGTTGTTTAAGAGAAAAATACCGATGAATCGCGCGAAATCGTCCGATCATATTCCTCGTAAGGAATATAAAATGTTCAGTTTTATAGCCGATACTATCGGACTACTTTTATAGCCCCTGCTAGAGTTTTACGAGGGAAAATTACTTAGACGCTGAATAATTCGAAATTTTCGTTGCCTCGAGGAAACAAAAGGATTTCACATGTATTCACGAACATTACGACTTAACAAAACATTTAATATGTCATTGCGATTACAATCGTACACGTATTGTGAATGCTTGGTAAAAGTGTTTCGCGGAAATAAAAATGAATTTATTCCTAATAGCGGCCAGATTGAGAGCTTTGTATCGCTTTTACAAGTCACAGACTCTATGAAATTACATTTCTGATTACACTTCTCCCCTAGGAATTCTAATTACGCGAAAGGCCGATGTGTTACACGTTTTTCCCTTCGCGTTTTGATTAATCTTGACTATCGGTTTGGTAGCAATTAAATGTCCAGCACGTATAATGTCCTATTAATATCATCTGCAGCCATCAGAACGTATCTGATAGGTATACCTTTGATGTATGATTAAACGCATACATCGGATCGTATTGTACGAATATCGGAAATCGATAAAACCCTATTTTTCATACGGAAAATACGTATCGCCATACATTATCATAAAGCATCCATCATCTTGTCAGAATCGATAAAATGTGTATTAAATATGGGAATGATAAACGTTCAGAAGTTGGATTCAGCCCTGAAGAGGACTCGAGAAAAATATTATGCGTCTCTATGCGCGCGTGTTTGTATGTGTATACATGTATCATCTTGTGTTTTGTATGTTTTTTTTTTATTTATTTATGCAATTATACAATTTTTTTGCGGCTACTTCTGCAACTAGCGTTGATAAATTTTCTACGGTAAACGAGATGAGAAAGATGCGGGATATCTCGCTTGACCTCGAATGGACTCTCGACCCCTTTTCGAAAATTCGCTTAATTTATACTAATGTATCACTGCATCGTGATTGAATTGGGTTGTCCTCGTGCTATCGCGACGTTTAATATCGCGCCGTCATGTTTATTAGGTCAATGTGTTGTATGCGTTTGCATTTAATACGAGATCTGGCCAGGCAATTAATTTCGTTATGAATAAATTTCATTCAAATATCTTCTTCCTTCGATTCTTGGAGGCTTCTCGCGTATTCGATATCTATCGAATACATTCCAGTACCCAGCCCATTTGTATATAAAATAATGGCAGATTGTGTGAAATTATTAATGCGTTGCGTGTAATAAAATTCGTATTTTAGTTTCTTCCGGCTTTTATCTGTACTTTGATCCAGTTTGAATTGTGATTACGCTGGATCGAATAAAATTTACAATTTTCAATCGTACCGTGTTGTACGTACAGGCTTGTGAAGTTTGAAGCGACGGATCTGTAGAAACAGCTCGGGTGTTTCGTGATGAAACTTTTACACGGCACGCAGTGTCGACTTTCTAAATTAAACGATGAAACTTTAAGGATTTAAATTTTCGTCGAGTTCGGACAGTCGCTCTTTCTCTCTCGGCTGTTATTCCGTCGATTATTCTTGCTCGATGAATCCGGCTATTTCGCGGCATTACGATGAGCCCTTAATTAAAAACCCGGGATATGGCGTGAATTATACGTGCTTTTAGGCAGATTATGCTATAACTAGGGCGCTAATGTTTAATCCCTCTTCGCGAATATATGCGTCTCTATTTAACACGGTGTCACCCAGTATAATATCATGTCCAATGTAATTTACCACTGTAAGAGCAATCAAATTGTTGTCCTACTTCAACTTGAGAGACTCGCGATTCAAATTAATTTCGTACAAATTTATCTGCATTTTTCTTCAGGGTGTCTAGTCTGAAATCCTTCAAGTCCTTGAAATGTTTTGGAATTTTGTTTGTTCTTTAAAAATCCTGGAAATGTGCTTCAATTTTTCATAGATCCTTGTGGTTTTCTTTTTCGTTGCTTCTAAACATTCAGCTAAACGAGCGGTTGAGACTATTCGAGTAAAAAGTATTTCATCTTACTTTGTAAATAATACAATATATTTTTATTTAGGAGTCCAAAAATATGTGTTACGTGTAAGTTATTTATTGGTAATGCATATAAATAATTTTCATTAACAATTATGGACTTGATAAAGAAAATCAAGTTTCTTGTACATCTTTATTAAACTATTGGAAAAAATTTTATTTTCAAATTTTACTAGATACCCTGATCTTTTTCTCTCTCCCTTTCGCGTGTACGTGTATGTAAAATCAATCTCGGCTCAAGTTATCGATTTATAAATTGCTGATTAATGTTCATCCATCCTCCACTTCATTGGCTTTGTCTCGATCGCAGCCTACGCACCTCTATTTGCTTTCACCTGCATCCGCGAATTGCCACGAATAATTGAAATTAATTGCGCTTTGCCCCGTCCATTCTTTCGTTCGCAAGCATACCAGGACTGGAAGGGGAGATGTAGCCATTGTTCAGCGCGAAAGGGTGATTAATGTTTTCCATCGTTGAATTAATTCTCGGCAAAAGCATAAACGCCCTTTGTCTTCACCGACGTAGATTAAGCTCTCCGATCTCCCCCTTTTTTTCTTGTTTCGCAGAAATGCACGCTGCATCTTTGTACACGTTCTCGCGATAAAATTTCCGTACTTTATACGTCGTACAAGGGACGAGCGCGTACATAATTGAAATAATTAATGACGCTTGTTCGCGCCGTCTAATTCTCGGATGCGTACTTGAGTTTGCGTCGTCCTTCTTTTTTAATATTGCACTTTAGAATTTCGCAGCAAGATCAATATTAATGTATACACAATTACATTTCTAATTTACACCGCACACAATAATTTACTAAGCCAACATTCTTTTCGTCCTTCGGTCAAATTCAACTTACAAGTGTGTCCTCGAGGGTTGAATCGCGTAACGTTCGTGATTCTCGGGGACACCGGTCATCTTAATGACCTGATTCCCGTTATCTAACACGCGCTCGTTCCTCAGTGTCTCCGAATCATCGTTCAACTGTCGCTCGGCATCGCGCAATTCCGGTTATTCCGTGTAAAGTAAGATCGAGCGTTTTAGCCGCGCGCATCCCAGAGACACCCTGCAACTTTATCGCTGCACCAACCCTCTTTTCCGAGTACCCACACGAAGTGAGATCTTAAAGAACACGTAAATCTTTCGAAGAGATGCGGGAATCGACAACGTCGGGGCGACAACGGTGAGCAAAAGCTAACGCGACGACGAGACGCCAAGAGAGACGAAAGCGAGAGCCTCGATAGAGTAGAGAAAGAGAGAGAAAGAGAGTGTGTGAGGAATTATGCCAGACAAAAATCCGGGCCGCCGAAATGGACAACGCGAAAACAAAGATTTCCTCGGCGAGATATCATCCATCGGAATGTCGTTGCGGCCCAGCGGGAGCGCATCCTCCGGTGAGTAACTGCTCTGCGAGGACGAATGTCTGATGCGAATCTCGAGAGAGAGGTCATACCGGGGCCTGAATGACCGTATTTGATACCCGCGTATAATATTGCGTAATTCGCACTGACATATATGTACGCTATAAATATCGCATATCTCATATCTGCGCGTGAATAGATGCTGCAGCGAATTAGTCTTCTCTGAAATTACATCCTCGGATCTATAGAAATTAATCTTCGCTGAAAAAAGATTTCTTAACTTATTGACTTGAATTTGTTCAATTAACAAAATAATATTTAAGTGAAAGCTTTTTAGTCGAGAACTTAACAAACTTTTTTTTCAGTGTAGGTATTCGTGTTTGCCGAGAATTTTCTTAGAATTTACCCTAGCAATTATCGGAAGAATTTTATAAGAGTTTCATTAATATTTACCATAATAGATATATTAATATGTACATAGTAAAATTAATCCAACATATTTTATACCTTATTGCGGTATATATTCATTTTTTTATTGTGGTAAATATTAATCAGAGAAAATTCTCTCTATGTATTATAATTGAGACAATTTTTTAAAATAATCCCTCGAAGAATAAACATATGCACACTTGAATCTTTAATGGCTGATTGTTACGAAAGATAGACGTTGAAAAATAACGCACACATTTTCCTTAAAAAAATATCTATTTTAAAATAATATGCTTATCTAGAGTAAAGCTTTCAGAAAAAAAAAGAATATTTATTTTATCTTCAATATTTTCACAAAGCAGATTAGTATGTGATGAATTATGATGAATATGTTGGCAAAAACCAATAAATCTCTCCAAGATAAAGAATGTCTATCATTTTTCAAACAGCGAAATATTTTGTTAATGATATATAAAACTGACATGAAAAGTTATAAAATGATACATAAAAGTGATATATAAAATTGACATTAAAAATGATGTTTATTGAAAATATTAGCATCTAAAGAATTAATTTGATAGCAATATATTATTTTTATTTTTAAATTTGTGTCTGCTGCGCTCATTATACGGTTGATTTTGATTCCCTCAACTGTCGTAATAATTTTCTAACAACGTGTCCGTTAGTGGTAACTTCCCTGCCAAGTCTTCGATCTGCAGCGACGCATTTCGTGAGCTCGTTTCTCGCGTATATACATTCCTGCGGAACGGATAAGGGATAGGATTCTGCCGTGGTTAGGCCAGTGCGAAGTTGATTGAATAGATTCAGAATAACGCATTCCTTCATCAAGACTTCGGAATCGGCCACTTTGCCGTCGTACGCGGCACAGAGCCACAATATACTGTCCAACCAGTTTTCCTCTACGCGTTCCTCAGTTTGGTAATTTATCCCCAGATCTTTTAACCACAACGTCAACTGTAACATAGGAGAGATTAGATTCGAAAATCACCAGCACCGATTTTCTTCGTTACCACGAACTCTATCGTTGATAACATGATATCTGTATGTCAGCGTTTCGTGTAAAAAAATATGTAATATAGGTATTACATATTTTTACGTATTACATCTGTAATATATATTACATATTTTTACATATTACATATGTGATATATTACATATTTTTACATATTACATATGTAATACATTACATATTTTTTTACAGTATGGATATATGTTTGCACGCGAGCAACGATAGATCGAAATTATCTGCATATTCCTTTTTTTCTCCCAACATTATATTACGCCAAATATATTCCATCCAAGTTTTGAAGCAAATTGCAAAATGTCAACGCGCTTATTTCGCTATAATACTTGAACGATCGTGTTTTTTTTCTTTTGACGGAAAAAGTGTAACGCTCACCTTGCCGCGGCACTGGAAGGTCAAAGGATTTCCGGAAAAGCGAAACTTTTCGATGCCTGTCATGGGTACGAGTTGGGCCGGTTCCAGACACGTCAAAAGGTTCTCCCTAACGTCGAGTCGTTTGAGGCCCCGCAATTTTTCGAAGACCGCGTACTCGATAGACGCGATGCGATTGTACGAGAGATCCAATTGCTTCAAAGATATTAGATCGACGAACCACTGATCCTTCACCGACGTTATGTTATTATACGACAGGCTGAGCTTCGCCATGTACGTCATACTGTCGAAGGCGTGGCCGGAAATTTCTCTGATACCGCAGTCGCGCATATTCAGAGACACTAAGCTCTTAGCGTATCTCAGGAACGATCGATCGGAAATATATTCTATCCGCGATTGAAAAATCATCATGTCCCCTACGATCGGCCCGCCGTAATTTATAGCGGCACTTAAATTATTCGTCAGATTGAAGCATATCACACGTTCGTGAAGTCCTATATGGATAATTCAATAATAGTTTTAATAATAGTAAATGGGATCAGTTAACCGCGACAATTCTTGCCGCTTCATATTTTATGCAGATCGTAAAAAGCGAAAATAAAATGAACGAAGGTTCAGCGTAATTTGGTGCGCATAGAATTAAATTATAAAATAGAAGAGAGAGAGAGAGAATTTTTACGTGGAATAGAATATATATAGAGCGTTATTCTCATCAAATGTCATGTTGCCTCACCATTGTCGTATTTACTGGTGGTACATAACGCGATTGCGACGTCCGTAAACGCAGAGATGCAGGCAAGAACTAGAAGCGAGATACGGCACATCTCGAGACGCACGCGATGCATTTTACTCGGTCTGATCGGTTTTTACGACTGACACTATTCCACCGAAAACGGATGCGAAAGAAGTGAAGTAACTGCGAATTATCGCAGTTGACGTTTCCCTTTCCCTTCTGTCGATGATACCGCGCTATCGGTACACGATTATCTCGGATGCTGCGTTCGTGTGTCGCACTGATTACGGAAGTGGCATTAATTGAGGATACGTTTTATTATCTAACAGGATACTATAAAAAATTTCGGAAAAAGAACAAAGAAGAAATGGATCATAAGTTGTAATAAAACCTATTTATTTATATTTCACATAAGATTTGTGAAAATGATACGAATACGGCGACCATATTTTTTGAGAGAAAAGAAAGAAGAAATTTGAAAATTTTAGGACTTTATTTCAACAAATTTCCATAAATCAGTTTGGAATCAAAGTGGAGATCGATGAGCAAACAAAATAATTCTGTGACTATCAGTTTATGTATTCATAGTTTGAAACTGATTCGTTGAAACAAAAGTGGTTGGTTTCGTAAATAGATTCCGTTGTTTTCGTGCAAATTCTGATGCTATAATATTACAACATTATAGATATTAAAACGTAAATAAAAAAATAAAGGACAAAATTGAGTTTTGGAAAAATGAATCTAAAGGACAGCTACTTGAAATGGAGGACTGTTCTCTAAAATAAAGGATGAATGGTCATCGTAGATATGAATGACATGGACATGACGAAAACTATAAAATATAAAATGTCTTACAAAAAGATATCTTTTTATTTCGTTTGAAAAAAAGATTCAAGATTATGTATCTTTGCGAATTCAGAGATATTTGAAATGTATTTTCTGATGTTCGAACCGTCTCGTTTTTTCGTCTTAAAGATTAATCGGATGCATGTGCCGAGAGAATAATGGATTATCATTTTGCTTTTCTTAAGGCATCTCGACCCTTGCGAGTTGCGGTGAGGTCGACGCGCTTCCCGAGCTTCCGGCTCAGGATGAAGAACGTTTGCAGCGCGCCGCGCGTCTGCTGCAACAGAGGCTGGTGTTACGTCAATGGTTGACGGATCATGGCCTACACAATTATTATCAAAGGTAAACCAAATTAGCATAAGTAGAAAATAACGGATAACTAGTAATGCGTTAATCTTAATAATATTAACTATATATAGCAATAATTGACAAAACTATTGAGAATTTGTTTAAAAATTAGCGAATAAGTTTAATTAGTTTATTACGAATGATTGATAATTATTATTTAGACTCTTGAGTTCAACAACCACAAATTTTAATCGATACAACAAATTTACATGTCTATATTTTATTACTACCGCAGAACATTCTAAATAATATAATTATCACCGTTCAAATTAATTAAACGTATTCGATAGTTTTTGGAAAATAATTTCTCAATATTTCTGTTAATTATTGCTACTTTAGAGTCTTTAGAGGAAACTTTTTCTTCCGTAAAATCTTTTTAGTTGTCTCTCTTATCCGCTAAAATAAACTGTTTTTCTTTAAGAGGCTTACAAAGTATGCCTTGCCAGGTAAATGTCGAGCGTATACTTTGAAGATGTACTTTGTCAGGTTGATGCAGATGGAGGTGATGTCCCTGGAGGATGTGTACTGGGTGGAGGACAATGCGGCACGAGCAGCCCTTGGCAAGGATCTACCGCGGTGGATCCAGGCCAGGCAGACATTGCCTACTTCAAAGGAAGATTTAGAAACTCTAAAAGCGGATCTGTGGAGTGCCGTGGTGAAGAACAGCCAACATCAGGACGCTTGGACATGGGGTACGAGTTTATGTAGCACCATTTTCGCTCTATTTCGGTGAAACGAAATCCTTCCTGCGGAACGAGAATTCATTGTCGTATGCCTCGTGGATTCCCTGCAATATAGTGACAATTTGAGAATGGAAATTTTGGTGGAAATTGTGATTTCTCTGCGCGTTATAAAATAGCACAATAACGATTTTATTACCGAGCAATTAATAATAATAATAATAAATTGACAAATAATTAAATCATTGCTAATAAAATTATTAGTATAATTATATCATTCAATATCACGAATTAAACAGCATACCCTGAAAGAGAAAGCTTTAAAACAAGGTTCGCTTTTGCATTCAATATTTTATTTTTCGTTCATTCTTTTCTTTGAACATTTTACATGCGTTTGAAAGGAGAGATCATTGATTAAGCGTGTACAACTAACAAATAACTTGTTATATTCGTCAGGCGGGATGCTGGTAGTTTCCGTGTCAGTGGCAGGGCTGGTTACCCTGGCTGCAATGACGCAGCCCGCTCTGGCACCCGAAGCGAAACATTCTCTTCTGCAGTATGTCACAGGAAAATATTTATTGCCGAGTAACTGCCGCGTTCATTTCGAGTGGGAAGAGCCTCAGCTGGTCGGCGAAACGATGACTTTTACTGTAAAAGTGAGTAAAGCGCGACTGCCGCCGCACTCGGATATTTACATTCAGGAGAAATAATCCTCGCAGAAAACCGAAATACATTCATAGAAAGAGAAAAACAACCAGTATCTTAATGATTATAAAAAGGTATACTATTATAGAGTTTTAAGTTGATAAACAATTAAATACAATAATTTGTATTTGAAAATTGCAATTTAATGTAGCAGATCATGCGTGATAAACAGTTAAAACTAATATTTTGATTTGTCTATATATTATATATTTTTGTTAAATATATCAATTACACGTATAATTACACGAATATCTATTTGCTCAGTTTTATCAGCGCAACGGTCAGCCGTATCCGATATGCGACAAGGATAATTTGATCGTGGAGGTGACGGAAGATACGCGCAGGGTGGCTACGTTAATAGAACTGGGAGGCACCGACCCCTTAGCTGCGAATACTGCAGTAGTCAAGTTTACTGTCCGCCATGCGGGACAATATCGAATAGCTGTACTTATCGGATCGTGTCATGTTCATGGCAGCCCGTTTCTTAAGAATTTTCTTCCCGGTGCGTATACTTGATACATGTAAAATAAAATCGATACAAATCTAATATGTCTGATACATCGTAAAATATAAAACTGAACACTGCAAGAATACTTTACGTAACTTACGATCAGTTTAATAACACATATAAATTAAAAAATATATAATATTAAAAAATTTTTTGAATTATATGATTGAGAATCTTCTTTGAGAAATTAATCAATTTTATTTTTTTATTTAATCTCAAATATATTAAGAGATTTGTAGTTTTATGACAAAGATTCGAAATTGAGAATTTCAGAGCAAATAATATATTACTTTTTAAGTATAAATCAACTCAAAAATCTAATATTTATATCGTGAAATATATGATTCAGGCCCTCCAGATCCAAATAAGACGGTCTTTGTACGACAAAGTTCTACGGTCGTTTGTACAGCCGGAATAGCGCATTCGATGACAATAGAACCACGCGACGAATATGACAATCTGTGCATATTTGGGCCCAGGGATCAGCCTACCGAAGGCTATAATGTTAATATTACTCAGGTAAATTAGAAAATTAAATTGCGAAAAAAATCTTAATCTTAATCATTTTCTAATTGTTTGAATGTCCATCCACCATAGATCGGTAGTATAGGAGATAAAGGATCGATGGTAGATTGTAGTATTCAGCTCGACTACGATTCTCCAAATCAAAGAATTCGTTTGAAAGTTAGCTTTCCGAAAGGCGGATGTTATCACGCGACTGTTAGTTTAGCGGGATTGCAGTTGCATAATGGAGACTTTGATATCATTGTGCTCGAGAGTATGTAAAAAATACAATTTACATCGGACATTTTCCTGCTACATAGTATAAAGCTATATAAATCGCTTCTTTTTTTGTTATTAGGTTCTGTCGCGAGAATGGTGCACAATAACGTAGCGTCCAAGGATCCTGATATTTGTTATGTCGCGAAGCTGCTGGGCATGCAAGGAGAGAGGTTTTCCAAACCAAAGAAAGTCTTCTGCTTTATCTCGCCTAAACAACTTACGATTAAGGAATATCTATTAAAATTCATTCCAAAAAGACTCGTAACGTTTAGACTATGTCCTTCGACTAAGGTATGTAACATGTATTACTAGAAATAATTATGTGCATGCACGTCGTGAATTTTCCTGTCGCGGATTTATGTATAATTTCTTATTTTTTTAATTGCTTTGTAGTTCCATTTTGAAAGTTCTACTAATCAACACGAGGGCTATTATCCATTCTCGATAGACGACGGATGTCAACCACCCGTTGAGTTAATATCTCTGTACCGTGACATAATAGCCGCCACATTCACTTTGTTTCTTTTGAAAAACATCGGCGGCAGTGAGACGTTCGCCGATAAACAAGACTTTTTCTATCACGAGGTCCGCAAGCATCATCAGAAGCATTATCACGAAAAACTGTCGATGAAAGTGCAGCGCGATAAGCTTTTAGAATCGGTAAATATAAATATAACTTATGTTAACTTTCTTTTGTCACAAGAGAGCGTCGTGCACAAAAATATACATTGACATTTTCCTTGTTAAAAGTCTATGAAAGCCACTAAAGGATTTTCCGTGAGCGATTGGTGCCGAAATTTTGAAATCACTTTTCAAGGCGAGCAAGGTAGGTTTAATATTTGAGTTTCAGGAATTTTTATAAAGATCAATTTTAGATAAAATCGATAGATCTAAGATTCAATTATCTCGTACACCAGGCGTTGATTGGGGCGGCGTTCGACGCGAATGGTTCGAATTGATATGTGCCGCGCTGTTCGATCCGGGAAACGGATTGTTCGCGTCATTTGGAGAATCTCAACAGGCATTGGTGCATCCAAATCCGAAACGGCCGGCGCATCTTAAATTGAAACACTACGAGTTCGCCGGACGTATCGTGGGGAAGTGTCTTTACGAGTCGGCGCTCGGCGGATCCTACCGTCAGTTGGTGCGAGCGCGATTCACCAGATCATTCCTAGCGCAAATTATAGGACTTAGAGTACATTACAAGGTAAAGTATAGAGGAAGCTCATTTCTGTAAAAAATGTAGAAAATATAAATTAACAAGTGTGTATTTCTTTTCATTCTAGTACTTTGAACAAGACGATCCTGATTTGTATTTAAGTAAGGTGAAGTACATTCTTGAAAACGATGTTGAGGAAATGGAATTATACTTTGTTGAAGAGGAATACGATAAGGACGGCCAATTGTTGAAGGTAAACGTTTTTATCTCGCGACTCTTATTCAATACTCGAGAATTCATAATAATATTTCTTTTATATTTTTATTGCAAAGAAAAATAAAGATATTTTTAAACTACCTAAATAAAAATAATATATTTATAAAGAAAATAGATTTAAATTATTAAAATTTATCATTAATATTATATACTTTTGCAGGTAGCGGAATTAATTCCTGGTGGTAGCAAGATCCGAGTGACCAATGATACAAAGCTTCGTTATCTGGACGCCCTCGCTCAGCACCGGCTTGCCAGCTCCATTCGCAATGAAGTCGATCATTTCTTGCGCGGCCTTAACGAATTGATTCCCGATAATCTTTTAGGAATATTCGACGAAAACGAATTGGAGGTACGTAAAATATCCTGGACACAATTTGTCTTGTCCGAAAGTATCCGGTGACACTACTCTCCATCTTCTTTTGCAGTTATTGTTATGCGGAACCGGCGAATATAGCGTAGCGGATTTGCGCGCGCATCACATAGCTAACGGAAGTTCTCCGGAGTTTCTTCGAGTACTCGACTGGTTCTGGACGGCGGTGAGTAATTTTACGCAGGAGGAGATGGCGCGGTTACTCCAGTTCACTACGGGCTGCTCGCAATTGCCACCCGGTGGATTTCAACAATTGAGTCCGCGTTTCCAGATCACGGCTGCACCAACGTTCGCTAACTTACCCACGGCACATACTTGGTACGTTTCCGCGAGTATTGTCATGAATACTCCCTGGACATCATTAATTTAGCATTGATATAATTTTTTCAGCTTTAACCAACTCTGCTTACCCGATTACGAGTGCTACGATCATTTTGAACGAGCGTTACTATTGGCCATCAGCGAGGGTACCGAAGGTTTCGGCATGATTTAAGAATCCAGGAATCCGCTAAATTAGTCGACTCTAATTAGAAAGGCACTGTGTTAATTAAACAATTATGTACTCATCTTTTCTCCGATGATAAAAAAAACTCACGTATCCTCTCTCGCGAAAAATAGATCCTATCATATGAGTTTGTCCCCTTAATAACTTCCTTGCCGTCGACGAAGAGGTCGGAAAGAGAGGATAACTTTATCGCACGTTTTGTATACATAGATGAGAGAGAACTCTTTTTAAAATTATCCTTCTTCTATTTTACGCCGAAGACTATCAGGAACAATATAATCTTCCGACGAGTATGGAGAATTGCAATTTCTACTTGAACCGCGGCGACATTTTTATAAAATGGAAGATATTCCGAGCAAGAGCAATGTTACCTCAACATCAAAATTGCTCAATATTATTGTATCGAGATGTAGCGTAGTCGAACGTATAACAATAGGTTTTGCGTTATGTGAACGTAGACACATTAATACGTTCCTCGAACGACGATGTAGTTAAAGTCGCTGTAAACGACATACGATAGAGCAAATCAAAATACGCATAGATGACTTTTCCTTTCTTCACAGATAAGTATTATGTGTAAGGAGAGAACGCATTTGACGAAGGGATCCTTGTAGCAGTTATAACGTTCCATTTATCAGTATTTTTTTTTTGCCAACACATTCTTGTCGAATGACGCACAGTATTGTGATTTTAAGATGACTTAAAAACAATGCTAATACATTGAAGCTTTGTGCCTAGCCGTTTTTTACTTCTTTCGTTTTATCCCACTCACATAATTACAGCACAGCAATTATACGGTACTTCCAACGTCAAAGATGACGGATAACGTAAGCTAATTAGCGTGTACGTCCTGTACTAAATACAATTGTATTCCGAGACACTACGCATTATTTCTTATCAACGCAAAATAAAATACTCGCGGTAATAATAAAGTGATTACCTAGTCATAATAAAATACTGTAATCGTACTGCGAGCATCGCATTCTGATGTATACGTATTTATTTAAGATGCAGTAACATGTACTATTATATATATTAAGTAGAGAAGGATTACATATTGAAACGTAGTAATCTTCGCTATAGCGGGCAATTCGTCGTGAGAAAATGCACGAATTTGCCAACGATCGCAAATCGTACTACGCCTCGCAGTAGTAGAACAAACTGATCGCCTCGTCAGATAACGTTCTGACGATACAATTTATTTTTATCAGTTTATCATGTTAACACAAATCACAGGAATCTAACAATATATAGATTAAAAAAGGTAATAATATTATATAATAATCCCATTTATTGGACAAATATCCTGCTAAAAGTTCCAATTAGTACACATCATTTTCTCGCTTATACAATTTACATACAAAAAGAAAAAAAGTTGAGCCTCTAAATCAAAATACCGCGCAATGCGATAAAAGCGCATGTTTTATTCACACGATGTGTCAAGCGTATATATATGTATATAAAATCTGCGTTACTCAAAAGTTAAATATTGATTCAAAAAAAAAGATTGCAATGTTAAATTTTAAACGTAGTACGAAAGGGGAAACTAATGCTTGTCAATTTCTTTGCCGTCCCACGAGTGCCTGTCCTTGCCACTCTCCGAATTGCCATTTTCATTCATAAATCATTCTCCTTTTTCGCGGCCGAAGGCACATTTGCATCAGCTGACCGGTACGTATTTTTTACCGAGTAAAATCGGCTCCCACAAAATGTCGCAATCACGCTTAAGCTCCTTATCTGTTTATTTTACACGCAAGAAATTAATAATGTTTCTTTGGCTCTCTGTGTTACATAATATCGCAGACCACGTGTCTACGTCAAATAACAACATGAAATAACGAAATAAAAATTCTTGCGTTGTTGAATCTCTTCACGTGTTAGTATGATATTAAATCTAATATTTATACCTTCTCTTACGGCGGCAAGGGCAGAGCAGCATTAAATAGGAAGGCGAAAGTCCGTATGATTGACGCGCGCATGATGTTCCCGGCAATCTGAAACATCCGACTGCTCCAGCCACCCTCTTGAGACTGACGCAGTAATCGCTCTCGTAGCTCCCTCAATTCCGTTCTGGCGAATGCGAGAATAGTAAAAATATGCGATTGTACAACTTTGTTAATTAGAAATATGTTTTCTCAAAAATAGATCTCACATCTGCGAGTTGCATTCCGATTCGATGCGACGAAGTTCAGTTTCCCGATCGACCAGTTGACTCTCCAGGGAAACGACACGTAAACTCAGAGTCTTCGCGTTACCCTCGCTGACTCTCAAGCGTTTCTCCAATCTCTGCTTCTCCGCGTCCGTAACTTGTAATTCCCTAATTATACAAAGTGCTTTGTATAAATGCTTATGCTTGTTCTATTAACGACGAGTTTCTGGTGCACAGGTGTTTGCGGATTACATCCTAGAATCTCTATCGTACCTGGAAATACGCTGCAACTGCTCCTGTGTAGATTCGGCATGAACCACCTGCGCCGCTAATCGCAACTGCAACTCCTCGACCATAGATTCCGCTTTTTCGGCTCTGAGGCGACGATCCGTGACCAATGCTTCGCTGGCGGATACCTAAGTAAAGGTTCTTGTCATAAATCACAACACTATACGAAGATGATTAAATATATAATACATAGTAATGTATAATTTTTACACAAAACAATATAGTTTTTTCGAAAATATTTTGATTATTAAATTATATTTATACAAGATTATTTTCTTTTGCAGAATCACGCTGGACCCTATATATTCATCCACATAATCATTCATTTATATATTTGTATGATACATCAATGAACGATTCACATGCGTGTAATACGGATAAGCATTGCAACTTTTCGCTATATAATGAATAAAAGTTAATAGGGCAAGTAGTATTGATCCTTCTTCCTGGTACGGAAGGAGTATTACGTGATATTGAGTCACCAGCGAAACGCGAAAGGTGTGATTCACTCGTCAGCTATATTTTTCTTCCCGTTCATTGACCTGACGCTGTCTCGCAGGTGAAGTCTACGATCTTTCAAAGATGACGGATGTTACCGGAGGTTGTATCTAGTGACAAGTGTCCTAGTCTAAATTCAGCAACGACATGATATATCGATTTTATGCAAAACGCGTGCTTGACAACAATCTTGCTTATTCATTGCAATAAAGGTAATTTTAAAAATATTTAAATAATCGCAAAAGTGCTCTGTTGTACGATTTTTAATTACGAATTTCACAGTTTTAATATCGAAATTAAACAAATTCGTACAATATTATCAGTACTGATGACGTACAATATTAAAAAAAATCGCACAATGAAGGAAATACATCGTTATCGGTCTCATGCACTCGTACGTCAAAATAACAAAAAATAGTGCCTTCTTGAAATTTTAACATTAAATTAGAAAAAAAATTTCCATTATTAAACTACTATCAAAATTTTAATGTATAATGATATAATTTCTGTAAAATTGCAGCTTATTACGTTAGAAAGGATTTATAGCGAGTCATTGTTATCCGCTGGATATAAATCCGATGACATTTCGCTGTCGTTCCCTACATTTGCGCAGCGAGCCAATATTACTTTACATCACAATCGTTGAAGATGTCCAACTTCTGAGAAAGAGTGGAAAGGGTGAAAGAGAAGGAAGAAATGAGTCACACTAGTTCGTGGAACGAGAAGGGATGTCGCACGGGAGAGTTCACCCCCGAGAAGGAGGAGGAAAAAGAGGTCGCGATCTCGCGTCTCCGACCAGCATAACACGGTGAGTCACCGAACGACGGATCAATTTTTTATCACCGTCGCGCTATCGCGGACGCTATACAAGCATTCACGTGCGCGGTCGCGAGTCTCGTGACTCAATGTATATTGCTTATGCAGAGTCTCCCATCGGAGGAATGTGATAAATTATGAATTATTTTTGCCAAGAGAGAAAAACGGCCAGGAATAAATCAGAGAGTCCGCAATTTATAAGAAGGATATATTTTAGCGACAGATATTTATTCTGTATATATAGACTATCTTGCGCGCGCTATTCATTTAAATCAAGTCAAGAGAAAGCACGGAACCTTATCTAGGAGAATCCTCTTGTCTTCCCGCAATTTTAAGAGTTTCTCCCGGTCCTTCGTCATTTGCGTGTCGAACGACTTTAATTGATCTTGCGCGGTCAAAAGCTCGTTCTTCAAGTTTCCTACGGTAACCGATCGCTCTTGGGAAATTTCCTCGACGCGCTTCAATTCTACCTCCAACTTGTCTTTCTCCTGTAAACGAAACATCCGGATAAAATAAAATAAAATTACTTTGGCAATTTATAAACGACGTAATGCAAGAAATTGGTAAAATCGTCCGCACCGATTTGACGGCATCGCGCTCGCGCATCGTTTCCTCCAGCTGCGATTTTTCGCGATGCAACTCGCCGTTCAATCTACCGACCCGGTCGTTCTCGGCGAGCAGCAATCGGCGCAGGAACTCGATCTGCAGGTGCAGGTGCTCCACTTGTTGCTCGAGCTGCGCGATCTCGGCGCGTCTACGTCGCCAAGCGTTCAGCACCAGCATGTGACACACAATGTTCGCCGCCTTGATCGTCAGATCCTCCGCCGAACCGGCGACCTCGCCCTGTTCGGATTCCGAGGACGGCGTGGCGTCCGTCCACGATCTGCCGCTTCCTCCGTTCGCCAAGATATCTTTGGATCTGTCGGTGACCTCATCGAGACGACTGACGGTGGAACCGCTCTCTGATCTAGACGACGTACATCTAGATTAGTTTCACAGCACTCTTGCAATCGCTACAGTTCGTTACCGCTCAATTATAATACTAAATATCATAAAAAAACCTTATTAATAGAATATTTTAATATAAAAATCTGGTATAGAGTATATATTATTAATTTTGATGGTTATTGAATATTATGAAAATATTTAGATTTAATTTGAAATATGAAAAAATGTATGGAATCATCAATGAGACACTCCTGTCAGAAAATGTTGACATTATTTGCGTCGCTGATTTATGCAACATTTTATAGTGCCCGGGTCTCACTTGAGATCGCCGACGTCGGGATTGACGGTGGAGAGGTCCATCATCGACAGACTCTTCTTGCAGCGAGGTGTGCCTATGCCCAGGAAGCGGCCGTTTGGTGAACATCGGTCGGAACAACTGTTGGGGATCGGCGTTGAGGGAACGCCAGTTTTCTGGCTAGTCACCGACAGACCGACCGCCAGTTTGTAAGGCCTTCGGGACACGCGATGATCGGCCACGCATCGGTACGGACTCGGTCGCGGATGGCATCTTACGAACGCCGGAGCGCACGGTAGTCTACGTTGAACGCATCGGGGCAGTCTGGTCTCCACCCGAGTGACGGCTCCGGCACGGATTTTAGACTGGACAGCAGTTTCTGGCATATCGTCGTTTGCAGCTTACGCAATAAAATTCGAATCCTCGAATGCGATCGAGATTGTTTGCGTCTCTCGTCATGGGGACGGGGGATCTGAACGCAACCCCTGAACAAACGACGATACTCTTCGATATCGGGTGTGTTCCTACCATTTGGAATGAAATTTTGCTTATAATTTCGTGGTTCTAATATATTTGATAAATTAAAAAAATATATATCTACATAATTTATTTCATATATAATTATGTATAAAAATTATATGTAAAATAAATTGTATCAGAGCTAGGATACGTGTGCGACGCATAAAATTATAAATAGATTTGTCTCTCGAGTTGCGAATTATATAGATAGGCTTTGCATTTGGTGCAACCGAGCTGTGAAGAAACCGAATTGAATGTTAAATAGTAGTCGAATAGCAATCGATCTCCTTCGGCCTTGGAAATGTATATGCGTTTTACAATCTACTAGTCCAAAAAATGCTATTTAAAACGGATATATTTCCTCGTATATCTTATTAGATATTTATAAATATAATTTAATACATAATAATTAATCGTTATTTAATTATCGTCGAGTTTGTTCGATTGAATAAATTAACATCGACGAAGTCTTCGTAAACACCTTCGTAACGACGCCATCGCTTAGCCGCTATCAAGCTATATCATTTGACAGCTGACAGCTCCGTGCAGCGCTCGATGTGACATTTGAATGAAATACATATTCACAAGAGTGCACGCGGAAAAGCGCGGAGAGCTCGCGCAATGTTTGAGTACAATCAGATGCATTTTATCAGCGAGACTCTCGCTCTTTGCGTAAGCGATCGCGAGCAATTGAATACGATCATCTGCGTGGAAAGAAAAAAGATTGTCAGCAAGAATACGCCATCGACATACATATATTCGACTACGCGATGCCAGTCTGGTATCGTCCGCGCGCGCGTGCGAGATCTTCGCGTCCGTCCTTCCCCTGCGCCTTCGTCTCCTCCGTATGTATATGTATAGGTAGACGTCGGTCAAGTCAATCACATTCTGAGTCAGTCGCTACCTACCGCCCGTCCGCTGTGCACGGTCGCGTTTACGTCACGATCGGAGCAGCACAACGCAGTAGCACCACGCGCTATTGCGAGGACACGACGTTATTGTTTCTTCTTTCTATTTCTCTCTTCTCGATCCTGTCGCGAGAAAGAGGACCTTGTCGTGTCTCGTCGCCGTCGCGAACAACGCGAGACGGCGCGAGATGCAGCGCTGACCACGAGAGTATCTTGGTATGTTGATTCGTGCTGCAGGCAAGTCTTCTCTCTCTATCTCTCTTTCTGTACCTCTCTCTTTCTCTCTGTCTGCTTTTCTCGGTATATATGTATATATCTGTCTTTCCTTCTTGCTCTTCCTCTCTTTCCCGTCACATTGTCCTACGATAGTTTAATTATAGATACGCGGCCTGTACGGGCCTAGGCTCTCCCAAAATAATGATTGGATCAGCGTTGTATCCCTTCTCGCGCTCCTCTTTTCCCCCGGGACACTTGCGTGCAGTGTTTCTGGACGTGCATCCGCGAACAGCTGTCGTTCCAGGGCACGGAGGCAGTACGTGGAAATTGCTCTCGTCTTCCTAGTTTGTGCAGCCGATTTCTGACTCGATACGTTTTGCAATTCGTCACGAGCACTTATAATATTAAAGCGTGAATGTAATATCGGGAATTCAGGGAATATGCTGATGTAAAAAAGATTGATCTGAAGATATGTAAGCTATCGTGTTGTGTCTGCGAGTTTCTATATTATATTGTAGATTAATGAGATTTCAAGAGTATACAAGTATTTGTCAAATTATAATTTTGGAAGTGTAAGGCATTTATCTATGTAATTATATATAACATAGTGTGCGTGTGACTAATCAATGTGTATAATTGTGTTTCAGATGGACAAAGTTCAATGTATTAAGCATTTATAGTCATGGAACAATACAATGGTATGAATGACGAAAATATTAATATAAGCGATATCAGTAAGTATCAAAGATATATCTATATATATATATTTATTAAAGTGTTATATATAGTTTGCATAACACTCTATTGATTTTAGTCGAAGTCATTCAAACTACGGATCCTGGTTCCATGGCTACTATAGCGATGGATGGTGATCATGTTCAGCCATACGTTGAAATTCTAGAACAGCCAGCCAGTAAAGCACTGCGATTTCGCTATGAGTGCGAAGGCAGGTCGGCTGGCAGCATACCTGGGATCAACAGTACACCAGAGAATAAGACCTTCCCTAGTATAAGAGTGAGTCAAATCAATAATTCTCAGTAACTCCTTAAATAATGTTCTACTTATAATATCTACTATAATATTACTACTACTTATCTACTTGTAATATTCTTGTAGATTGTAGGATACAATGGTCGTGCTATGGTGGTTGTATCTTGTGTAACAAAAGATGCACCGGATAACAAAGGATACAGACCTCACCCTCACAATCTTGTTGGCAAGGAAGTATGCAAGAAAGGCGTTTGTACAGTAGAAGTTCCAGCAGGAAACATGGTTGTTACTTTCTCAAACTTGGGCATTCAATGTGTAAAAAAAAAGGACATTGAAGAGGCTCTCAGAGTACGTCAAGAGTTGCGGGTAGATCCCTTTCGAAGTATGTGTATGACATTTTAATTTGATACTATACTTATATAACTTGGATCGATCAAAGATAATGGAAAATTTTAATTATTGCAGCTGGTTTCGAGCATAAGAGACACCCGACGAGCATAGATCTCAATGCAGTCAGATTATGTTTTCAAGTATTCTTGGAAGGATCGCAAAAGGGAAAATTTAACAAACCATTACCACCTGTCGTGTCCGATCCTATTTATGATAAGAGTATGTAATATGAGTATTTTATAAAGTAATATAATATAGAGTAACTATATTATATTTGAAATAAAATTTTTACTTATTGTATGTATATGTTTCAGAGGCGATGTCAGATCTTGTGATTTGTAAGCTGAGTCATTGCAGCGCATCGGTCGCTGGTGGAATGGATATGATTTTATTATGTGAGAAAGTCGCAAAAGAAGACATACAAGTGAGGTTTTTCGAAGAAAGAGACGGACAGCTTCTCTGGGAAGGATATGGCGATTTCCAACCAACACATGTACATAAACAAGTGAGTTAATAATTGCCTCAGTTGTGGTCACTTTATAAACTATAAATTATTCATTAATTGTAATAGTTTTGTAACACTTACAAAAAAACGCGACTTCTCTACTTTGCATTGTAACGATGTTTTTTCTTCATAGACGGCAATTGCGTTCAGAACACCCAGCTATCGTACGCAGCAAGTGGAACAGCCGGTTCAAGTGTACATCCAGCTTAGGAGGCCATCAGACGGTGCTACAAGCGAACCGCTACCATTTCAGATGTTACCACTAGGTACAGGTAGGCCTGCTTTCTGGTCATTACGGAAAGCATTTGCCAGGAAGAAGGCAGATTACAATACCTTCAGTAAGATCTTATCAACCGAGACTGCTCTTCTTTCCAACGTAACTCCTAAATTTCCTCGTAATATCGACGAGTTCAATAATAACGATCTTAACGCGAAAAGATCTCACGATAAAATCTCGGCATTGCGCGCTTTAAACGAGCTGTACAATGTGAAAAATCACATTGACTCATGCAATGGAGATTTGAAGGCGATAATAAATTCTGCTCAAAACGATCAAGTCACGAAAAGTACCGTCCTAGATTACGAGAACAACGAGGTGACAATAAACCCTGAAAGTAACGCGGAGAGTAAAAAAGAAATTAACAAATTGTATACTCTTGACGATAATAACGTGAAAAATGATACATTTACCGTGAATTATAAGGAGGGAATTGTCGAAACAGTTCCCTGTGTTAAACCGGACGTACAGGATAACGGCACAACCGCGTCGCGAAATATAGACAACTCGAGAAATAGATCCGATTGGTTCGATTACTCTGAAATAGGCAAGTGGGTGCAGAAGGGACAAGCAAGTCTTAAGGAGAAAGATAACGAGACGGAAATTAAAAACACGACTGAGGGCGGCAAATCATTGAACGAGTTCTTCTCGCAAGTGGCCGAGCTCGATCAAATTTACGCCGACACTCACAACAAATTGGTACAAGCCTCTACGGAGACAAATGCAAATCAAATGATGGACGTTGATGTCTGCGACAATCAGACTTACACTAGTCTACAAATGGCTATGAAGAATCCAATCGAGTTGTTTGACATCACCGACGACAGAAAGTACGAGGACGTGGCTGTTCCAACACCAAACGAGATACCTGTGACGTCTCCAACGTTGACAGCTAAGAGAGATGTAACGAATGAGGAAAGATTGCCACCCTTGCCCCCGAAACGAATACGAAAGATGCCGTCGATGCCTTTTCTACCGCGTCCGATATCCGCTCAGACATTCAACGACTCTACTTCCGAGGCACCCAATAAAAACTTGCCGTCCTTACCCGATTCTTTACCGAAACACGCGAAGCAGGGACTCTTCTCGAAATTGTTTGCTAAGAAGCTTAAAAAAGATAAATGCTCGGTACCGAATTTCAGCGGAGATAGCGACTCTTTGAATAGCTTGTATTTATTGAAAAGCACCGTGCAAGACGATGTACAATCGCAGCTTCCACGTCCTAGTATGACGAGTGTTACGAGTGTTAAATCTCTCAAATTGGACGGCGATGAAACACCACCGTATGGTATAGATTTAACTGAAGCCGAGCACTATGCTCTGTACACTACTATGGCACCGCACGCGACTGCCTCAGAATTTGATGAGATGTCTTTCTATTATAGTCTGGTTGAAGGTGGAAAGATATTGCTGGAGGGGAAAGAGACCTAAACTACTTGTTTAATGATATCTTTGTTGTACTGCCGAGCGCGTTGATAAATAACTATATATTTGTATGAAGATATTGTATTTGAATCTGACGAGTTTGTCTACCGAAGTGTGTGGAGTGCACACATTGCAGCCAATTCTTTATTATACCGTCGGTTCTTGTTGTAACAAATTTACAGAGTTTTGATAGGACTGACGTTTGTATTGTTAAGTCAAAGATTTTTCTCTTCGTGGAATAGAAATCTCAACAACTATTTCTCAAAACATGTTTACCATGTTAAAACGAATCGATTTTTTGCTGTAATATCAACGCATTTATCCAAGTATGCAGAATTCTAGTCGAAGCGTGATTTGTTACCTTTTGCTTAATATTTTTTTTCGATGGTTTTTACAAGTGATTTATAAACTTTGTATAATTGTTATTTATTATCAAGTAATTAATCAATGTCCTTTCTAGTCAAGTTTGATGCTGTTGTGTTTTCGTATTCTCTATAATGCTTTACTATTTTTTTTTGTTAAGTTTTACATGATATTACAAGTTTATACAATTACCTTTTTCTTTTCACGTTGTTGTAGATTGCTGATTTTAGAAAAATGACAATTTTGACAAAAATTTTGTCTACCTTTAGGTCAGTTTATCGATTTTCCTTTTAGAATGACTTTATCGAATATGTAAGCTAAGGAAGTTCTTTACGGGGCCTTCTTCAATTGTACGCAATTGTCAATATGATGAATCTTTAATGTACAATCATTTGTGTAGATGATGCCGATACCTTAAGGCGAAAGAGACAAAAACTTAATAACAACTCAAGCTCGATACTTTTCAAACATGTAGCAGAAACTGAGAAGCGTGAGTATATATTTGCAAAATTATTTATAATTCTACAGCTTGGGGAATCAGGATTGGGCGACATTGCCTATGTGTCAAATCTGTAAAAATCTATACTATTTATCTGTATGTCACATTTCTCACTGAAGGAATGAGCATCAATCAAGCTAATATTTTACTGTGATGCGCTATCACTTCAATCGATATTCCATTTGTTGTAATCGAAATTGTGCTACTGGTATTGCTTGTATGCATACGAAACGAGAGGCCTTTTACCTACAATGAAATGTAGATTTTGTATATTTTAGCAGAGACCTATTTGATACATTTGTTAATTGTTATAAATGACGAATATGATAAATTTGTTAAAAAAATTTCTGATAACTGAAACGTACATGCAAAAAAGTTTAAAAGAAGTTACAGTATCTGTATGAACAGGATTGTACAGATTTTTAAATATTCAATTATTCTCATGTTTCATCGCATATACTAACCATCTATCAATTTAATCCCTTTATACTTTGAAAATATTATGATGTACAGTTTTGTGTGGAAATTTTATGAGATATATAATTTCTCTGTGCATTACAACACTTACATATAATTTTGAATTATTAATATTTTTAGTAAATTCAAAAAATTGTTGACTAGCAATTTTCATAGTAAAAAGGGAGACTTATCGGATACAAAACTCTCATTATATCTACGCTACATATATTTTCACATATAGACAAGCAGTCTTGTTTTGTACTTTTTTAGAGATGTATTTTCTATAAGAATTTGAAGTTTTGTGCGAGAATTCAAAAGATTAAGGAGCAGTGAGCTTGTATATTTTAAGATATGACGATATATTGTATTTTTCTATTTATGAATAATAATTTCGAGAAGCAAGTTTTACAACACACTTATAGATCTTACGAAAAGGAATTTGTTATCTAGAGTCATACATGACAATAGGTACTTGTAAGTAAAAATTTATGGCTCAGATGTTGAGCGTGATGCGAGTGCGCTGCTCTTGTGCAATGAATATTATACTTTGAAAGTCAGCAATATATATATATATATACAGTAAAATTGTAGCATATAGTACAATCAAATAAAGTGCAATATTTATATGGCAACATAATTTTTATAAGCTGCTTCTTTCGCAAACAGATAAATATATTTACATATTGTACGAATTACATATTATGTAATTACATCTATATATACATATATATGCATAATCACTTGATAATACAAAAGAAAGTGTTTATTTATTCTCTGCTCCCAAACAATTTCAGACAAAAGTTTACTGATACATATCGCAGACTCAGGTACGATATCATGATGTTAGTGTGACGTGCAAATTGTTGTTAATAATTTTAAATTAGATTTATTGTGATAGTGTTTTAATAGTGTAGCGAATATAATTTTTATAAAATTAGTTTAAAGTGAAAATATATAAAGTTATGCACATATGATAAACGCATGTACAAAAAAATCATGCTTTTTCATCCAGAATTTTGTTGCATGTTTTCATCGCATGTATATTATTGCTAATACTGCATCATATTATATTGTTGTGCTGTGTAAGGGATTTAAATTTAAATAATCCTTTAAATAAATGCATGTGTGTGTGTATATATATATATATATATATATATATATATATATATATATATATTCACACACGTATACATATGTACACATGTATGTAAACATGTTGCTGTGATATTCTAGATACCAGAAATCAACCTATTAGTTTTAATATCGTCAAAGCTGAACCAGCTGGCCGGATATCGCCGTTTGGAGCTCCGAGTACGAGTGTAGGAAATTTCGGTCTGCAGTCTACAATATCATCCTCACAACCATACAATAGCATGCAAACCCTAAGGTACGTTAACAGACCAAATGAAGATTACAAAGTTGAACCACAGATAAAAGTAAGAGCATGGAAAGGAAAAGAGGATATTCTAATACTAATGTATTTATTCTACTTTAGGCCTCAGGTATCTCCAGGACGAACACCATCCCCTATGGAATACAATGTTTATAGCCCATCTCTCGTGCAACAGCAATATCAACCAAACATCCAACCATTGATGTCAAACACGACGACAGATATTCAAACATTTTCTTATGTAGATCAACTGCAATTACAACCGGAACCAAATCTATTGATGTTAAACAAAGTAACGCCTTTAAATCAAGCAGAATCCCAGTCAACGAACAATATTGGTAAATTTTTTTCTCTACCATTATGTAACTCTTATGCGAATAATCTTGCTCTTTGAGAAGTCGAGATTGAACATTTATTCTATTATTGATATAAATCTTTCAGGCATCGTAGGAGCCATGTCTAGTATCCTAGACATGGATAGTCAACAATTTAATTTTGACTCTGCTGATCTCGCGGATTTTGGAGCAAATCTCTCTGCAAATCTGTCGACTGGATTATCTATCTCTGACTCTATACAAGTAAGTATAAGGATTTTAGACGCACACAAATTAGCATGTGTTACGTATCTTCAAGTAGAGCCATACATTTTTTAATTATTGCAAAAATTTTTTTACCAATTTTAGCCCGAAGTTGTTGGGAGTCATTCCGAAGAAAGGAATAGTATGACTGAACATATTACTTGGATAAACGAAGAACTTTCCGCTCTAAATAAGATACTCAAACCTAATCGAGAAAATGATGGCTGAAAACTTTATTAAAATGACCTGATATCAGTTAATTGTGACCGACGCCGGAATCATAAGAAATTTGCAACTGATTATATATATGTATTTTATACATTACAAGTGCTCTCTCCACTGCCATTAAAACAAAAAAAATAATCAAATCTTTTTTCTTTTCGCAGTAAATAAAAGAACATTTGATATACAAAAATAACCAGAGTATGCAAAACGATAATTTTGAGCTTTAATCTCTTCTACTCACAATCTATATTTTTATACATACTCAATTTATATTTTATAAAAGTGTGTAGAGAGAAAGTCAAAAAAGAAACATCATATTTTCTAAGTGAATAATATTATAATATACACGAATTATTAATACTATGAATATTGATTAAAACAAAATTACGAAATCTTAATGTTTGTGATGAAATTTATCTGACAGTAACATATAGGCAATTACCTATTCAGAATAAATTATTCAGTCGGTCATGAAACTGATATGTGCGAAATGTAATATATTTGTTTGTCGACATCACAGATTGAGATGTTAATTTAATTTGAGATAAAACGATTGAGATAATGCTCGGACTTGTGATCAAAGTTCATAATTTGTTTTTTGTATAATTGATTCTCCCGATACTCCTGATGAAAAATTGAGTTTTGCGCAATAAGCAGAAAAAAGTTGTCGAGATAAATTATTCATGAGACAAGTTATTATAAATGATAATTATAAATTATTAAATTAGATGAATATTTGTAGGAGTAATTTCTCTCTCGCGTTTTTTTACGCTTGTACTTTTTATTTTTTGCACAATCACGTGTCTACAAAACTACGTTTATAAATCTGTATATTTGTAAATATATATATATATATATATATATGATTGTTATACATTTAGATGTTGATATACTCGAAAAAAGCGCACGATAAAAAGATATTGAAATCAATGTACTCAAAAATTTCAATGGATGTTCCGTCCAACTATTTTTTATGTATATATTATGCGGTTTTTTATTTAAGAATAATGTATGTAAGAGGATACGTATGCGTATGCAAATTCTCCAATCTATCAATTTTATTAAGATTAAGTAAATATATGGTAATCGTGTAACGAGACGATTGTCTTGATATAAAATATATTTTTACAATAACATATCTCAGGTAATTCGTTATTACTAAAATATTACAAAGCGCGCGTGTAACGCGCGTCATTTGTTTCTTTGTCATGTATTATTGTGATGCAAGTGTAGATACCAGATAGGAATCATGCACAGGATATGTAAATGTAGAAAATGAGAAATAATCAATCGACATATAACTATACACACGCGTTGTCTTAATTTACTGCGTCGTATCATTTTTCTCTATAAGCACTTAATATCCTGCTTAAAGATACAACAAAAGTGTATATATTTACAGTTATAACTGTATATTTACATAACATGATAGTTCGATAAATGATAGTCTCCTATACTTATATGAAAGTCGGCAGTGGACACACGGATTTATCTCTTGGAATATAGCTTACATATGTGTATAATTTTTTGTTCTCTTTCATGATACGTGTACATACGCGAACATTGCACAAATGTATTCGCATAAATTGCAAATACATTATGCAAGTATAATACTGAGATAATATGTTTCGAGAGCGGGAAAGAAATTTTTGTTCTTCGCTTCACATATAAATAAAATATATGTGAAGAATAAAAAAAACAGCCGTATTGTTTTCTAAAATGTATTTACTTAAAAATACAATGAAAGTTTCAGTTCAGATGGAATGGGCAGAAATATATAGAGTCTGTGGCGCGTCGGTTATGCTGTTACACGTTGAAAGAGGTGATGCGATGGTTTCCTGTACAAAAGTAGCTTGAACAAGAGACTTATGAACACACAAACCAAATTCTTAGCCTAGGATCTTCGTTTACGTTTAAATCGTGTCAATTACCAGATTTGATGCCTTAAACTTCTTTCATGCTTACCTAACGTAGGGATGTAACGGATTGTATGTGTGGGCGATCAGCCTGATTGATTGTAAGACCCGTTAGCACCAGTAAGTGAATTTTTCCGAATCGCGTCGAGTACTGGAGAGCGAAGAGAAGTACCGTACTCGCTCTCTGCTTGTTACCGGTACTTTGGGAAGGGCTTGACACAGTACAAGACGCAAGTCTCTCTGTAAAGTGCGTTGCCAACGGGGCTTGGTATAATTGTATTTAATAAAATTAAATGAACTTATACTTATATAGTATATATAATATATAGTATACTATGTGAACGCGCTAAAGTACTGATTTTGCTCCAGGCACCTGTACTTAAAGATAGTCCTTTGCCAAATTTGTCAAGTTACTATCTTGAAGCAAACACGTGTTGTTTTTTTTTAATTTTACAGCAACAGCGTATAAAACCGTAGATTAACAGAGACTGCCAGAGATGGTAATGATCTGTACGCATCACACATTTTTGACATCGATCGCGGCTGTTGGACGCGTTTACATATGTATGTACTTATGAGGAGTATTCGAGTTTTCTTTCTTTCTGCATCATCGTTCGACGGTAAGGGATTTCTTGTAAGTATCAACGTTACAACACGGTCCAATCCCCCATCTCCTTGGTTTCCATATAGCGGGATTTTAGTCCGTGGGTCGAAGCAGCTCTTACACTGCCTGCCGTCTTCTCGCACACAATTCATTTCAGATATTAAAACCTATCACTACTTATGAGAACGAATTCATTTTCTCTGATCTAACTGCGTTTTATTTAACTATCTCATTCGAAAATATTTGTACATTAAAACGTGGGACATCTTCTCGCATTCGAATTAGCGTTATCTTTATTTAATTATTATGCTATTGTACATGGTATAACCGCAATGTCTCTTCACCCTTTTATCTCACAGTCTCCCGAAAATAAGTAGCGGCATGGACATGCCAATCGCAATGATTCACCAATTCTTGCACAGAGTCGTTTTTTCAATCATTAAACCGACGAATCAATCGCCGTTAATCTTATCGTATCATAAAAAATATTAAATATCTTTATTTTTTTTTTCTTTCAACGCGAATCTGATGAATGTACAATTCTTAAGACGCCATATAGCATATTATGTATGCATAAGAACGAATAAATACCGTCGACTCGCTCTGCAACAGTCAACGAATTATTGCTACAGGCAGTCCACAGTAAAATCAAGATAAAATCATGATAAAAACCAAAAAGGTTCTTCAATTACGCTCAAATAAGAACATTCGAATAGGGAGAGTAAGAGTACTTATTACATAATTGTCACAATATAATAGCTCGGATTTTTTTTTTTGTAATTTCGCGTCATGTTCGGCAGTTCTGGAGTTATAAATATATATATTTATCTATGTATATATAATTGAACTCTTACCTTCTACAAAAATGATATATATATATTTATATAGTTGGTTGAAATGAATCGAGAAGGGTGATGGTGCCCTTATATTTCGCAAGTTGACTGTTCGATGCTCTCCCTTATCTATGCCCAAGCCTAAAGTAACAACTCTCTGCATTACGTTTACATAATATTATCGTTAATAATAAAATGTTTCTTATTCATAACTTTATACATACTATGTATAATTATTATGCAATATTAAAGTCACATATTACTCATCCACACTACCTGACGCGAGCGTTAATCTTAATTCCTGTCTCTATACCAAACAGGAGCACGAAGCGCGGTATGCGTTATATCTATATTTTAAGATTTCTTTTTGTGTGTACATATTGAATGCCGAGAGATGTCCATTCATGCCTATTTTTACTCGATAAATTTTCCCGTTACGTATGAATCGCTTAATTATGTTCGATAGCCTCGCGCTCCTGTGAAGACACTGCAATTACACATTTCGATTCGAGAAGAAAAACTCAATCACACACACATTGAGAGTGAGAGACATTCGTCGAACTACAAACGTAAATTTGATTTTAAATGTAAAAAAATCACCTTCAAATATCCATTTTACAACTATTTAAATATAATAGTTTTTTTTTTATATCTTAAATAAGTTTTCAATATAAAACTGTCCCGACGAGAAAAGCCAGATGGCAAATACCAGTTAATAGGTGGTTCGGATAAAACAATAGATTCGTCTTGGGAATCGTGCGGGCGAACGAACGAACGAACGAGTGGACGATCGAAATAAGAATGTGGATAGTAAGTAGAACGACCCCCATCAAGTCCGCAGGACGAATATATAATTATCATTCAAACTACCTAATAGCATTTGGTATTGGCTAGACTACCAGAATTGCGAAGAGCCAAGACAAGTAGAGAATTGCGTTTGCATCTAATGAGTATCAGCCCACCACAATTCCGGTGAGGTGGTAATTTTTGTTGTAGGTCGGAAGAGAGAGGATCCAGTAACACGGATTGGGCACGATGGATATCAACATTATTACGAACCACTCAATATGAGAGTAAGTTTGCCGAAAATCGACGATGACGTCACGTGCCTAACGCCTCCCTTCTTAGTTACATATCTCTCCCCCTTCTTTCATTATGCGTCCTCCTCTTCGTCTTCTACTTCACCTTCTACTTCACCTTCCGCATCATCATCCTCTTCATCTGCAATACAAATGTAGAAGGAATCGTTTTGAGAAATACTCTTTAAAAGAATGAAAGAAGAACGTATTAGAAAATACAATTAAATAAATTGCTAATCTACCTTCGCCCTCTTCTAAATCTTCCTCGCCTTCCGGTATGTCATCATCGTCATCATCTTCCTCTCCGTCACCGTCTACTTCCTCCTCCTCTTCAATTTCCTCTTCGATTTCTTCTTCTTCTACCTCTCCATCACCGTTCTCCTCTTTTTTCTGTTTTTTCGTCTCTTCGTTCTTCTCCTACAACATGGAAAGGCTTATTTAAAACAAATGTTCAACAAATATCAAGATTTATTCCACGTGTATAAGTACTTTGTATATTTTTCATCATCAAAGGGACGAAGTGGAAGGAAAATTCATCTTCGGCGGCAGCGATAGAGATAGAAACGGACGAGTAAGAAGAGAGAAAAATATACCGGCCGGCCGGCGAGGAGGCCAAGATCCCTTCCCGCCAAGAAATACGGCGGCGAGAAAAGGGAGCTGGTGGGGACTTTCCCTGCGCGCTAAAGCAGGATGGAACAGGAAAAGGAGAAATGGCGGATGGAATCGCGTCTACCGAAGCAATCTGTCGGCGGTGCCAAAAACACGAAGGACAGGTAGTAGAGAGGATCGGCGTCGCTTTAAAGAGCCCCCTCTCTGTCTCTATCATCGTTCGTTCCGGCGTCTCGCGTGTCGAAGGCAAAAGAGAGAGAGAGAGAGACCGGTTTAATCGTCGAGCGTAACGCGAGAAAGGGGCAAAGAGAGGAAAACGCGGGAATGTACAGCCGCCGCCTGCCCACGCGTGCAACCTTAATACCCCCCGATAGTCGTAGAACCATGCCCTTGATCCAGTCCCGATGGCCCGTAACGGCCATAACGCAATAAGCATCATCATAGTTTATCGATTTCGAGGGAAGGAAAGAGAAGGGAAGCAGCGTTGTGTGGCGGATATAGGCAACGCGAACGGTAGGAGTTTACTCCGATTTCAAAATATGCCGCCCGGAAGTCGCGTAATCTGAAAAACATCTCTTTTTTTTTTCCCCCCATTCGTACCAAATAACGCGCGTCGTCGACGTTCGCAACAACGGTTTTCCAACATTCGGCATGTTCCGCTTTCGAAGAGAGGGCCGCGTCGGTAACGCCGGACTCGTGACCATACGGCGTTGTTGGCCGAGAACGTGGTGGGGCGAGAAGCGCTGGCGGTGACGATGACGATGATGGTGCTGGTGGCGACGGTGGCGGCGGCGGCGGCGGTGGTGGTGGAAGAAGCAGCCGGCTGTGCGGTATACACGCGCCGTGCCGAGAAAGCTTCGGAGTGCGCGCGCGTCGCCGCGTCGACCAATCGGAAGCGCGCGAGCCGGCGACGCGCGGTGGAAGGCGCGCGGTGATTGGCAGATGACGAAGCCGCGCGCCAGAGTGGTGGGGGAACGGTTCGCGTCGCGCGCGAAAAGAGAGAGAGAGAGAACGGAGGGGAAGATAAGGGAGGAAGATACCGGAGCGGCGTGCCAAGTGTCGCGTACAACGCGCAGCCTTCGAATAAGAGTATAAATCTAAACTAAAAGAGAACACGAGCGGTTTCTCTCTCTCTCTCTCTCTCTCTCTTCGTTTGAGAAAAATGGAATATTACGCGGAAGACGAGTAAGGGAAATTATCGCGCGGCGATTTGCGACGAAGAAGCGCCGATCGATCGTCAACGATCGAGTACCGGAAGTGAATGTCGGAGGAGAAGGAGGATCGACATTCGACGCTAGATCAATGTTACTCGTTCTCTTCCCTCTCTCCCTAGAAGTAATTGTATCGCTGTATTTAGTCGACCTGTTGCGATGAAATGCAAATATAGGATCGGTTACCGACGCGATGTCTACAAAACAATAGGAACCCGAGGCGAGCTGACGCGCGCGCGTTACTCCGAAATCCTCTCGTTCATCGGAATAACGCGAATAACGGCGCTCGTCCGACAAAGACAAGACGACGACGCCATCGCTTGTTATCCCCGCGCGATTACCTATCTACCCATTCCCAATCACGAGGTCTCGCTAGATAACCTAATGCTCATAACCTATCGCATAGACTCTACTCCGAGAGTATCAATTTCTTCGATTACGTAATTAATACGAATGACGCTCGCGAGTCTTATCAATGAAATCGCGCATCGTTCAACTATTCGGAAGCTAAATTCCTAGATTCACGGACGAATAACAATGATATATATATATATATAGCTTGCACGTTTCGCGAACGCGCACTCTCCGGGCAGGCTTAATTAAGATAATTAAGCGATAAAAAGGTGTTCGCGAGAAGTCGAGAGACAACGACGATAACCATTAAATGCAATAAGTTATTTCTGGCTGGCGGCACATCGATCCACACACAACTTGCGTTATCCGATCGACGCGACGCCTTTTCCCGCCTTCTCTCTCTCGATAGGGAACCGCTTAACCGCGGTTCGCCCCGTATCAGGAGAGAGAGAGAGATAACGTAAATTCGGAAAAATCTAGAGGATCCTTCTCTCTTCTTCCACGAAGAGGGAAATTGTCGTAATCGAGTTTTTTTTTCATTTTTTTTTCCCATTCCTTCTCCGCTTCGGCCTCGAGAGCTTCCCGCTCTTTTTCCCGCTCACCTCGTTCCGGAGCGATACTAATCGCGCATACACACACATGTACAGTATTACCCCCGTAAAGAGAGACGCTCCGAGAAAATCCGTCATACGCTCCTCCTTTTTCCAGCGTCTCGTCGCTTCTTTTCGCGCTTGCGCTCGCGATCCGGCGAATTAATAGAATACTCTCGGGAGAGTACGACACCTCTCTCTCTCTCTCTCTCTCATACCGATATGGACGTAATAAAGACGCGTTACGCGCGGGGCGCCCTTTCCACGTGACGACGCGTTCTCTGTCGAGAGCGAGAGAGAGAGACAGAGAGGTGCCCGGCTTTTCGGATTTCCGCCGCTGCTCTCTCGTTCCTTTACGCGCAATCGCATGGTAAATTATCGGCTAAAAATAAAGCCTATCTGTGCGCGACGCGCCCGACTACTCCTTCTCTCTCTCTCTCTTTCCGTGCGCGATGCCGCGATTTAAGATGAAAAGTCGCGGCAACGATGTTTTCTCGAAGGTTCGTAGTGGAGCGCCGCCGCGAAAAGAACAGGGAGGCAGGAGAAGTACACCGAGTATATAATGCACGGCGTTGCCGCTAGTTGCGCAAGTGGGGTAAAAGATAGAACGAGAGAGAGAAAGATAGATAGAAGCCGCTTCTACATCAACGGAGAGAAAGAGAGGGAAGGTAGTTCGGAGTAAGAGAAAAGGAAGCCTTCGTCGTAGTGTTTATGCACGCAGATCGGTAAACAATTTTCAGGGCAACGTGTCGACCCGGAGTAGACGGAGTACGCGTCGCTCTCGTCTATCTATCGATCGACCGACAGCGCGCGATTAACCCTCTTATAACAACGAATTATCGATCAATTATAGGAGGGAGAGAGAGAGAGAGAGCGGACGCGTGGGAGCGTGACGGAGAGAAAAAGGGAGAAAGAGACGGGAAAAGCGCGCGCGAGAGAAAGAGAGAGAGAACGAACGCGGGCTTGGTTTCGGCCGCCATAATGGAAACGCGACACGGGGCGACGTGCGATGGTGGCCGACTCGTCGATTCGGAAAAACGCGCGGGAGCGCGCGTCCGCTTTTCCGGCTCGACGAATGACACCGGGAATGGCGCGGAGGAAAAATGGCGTCGGCACGCCGCGCCGCGAGAGCGAGAAGTAGAGGGCGCGGAGCTGAAAACGAACCGAAAGAGAGAAAACGAGCACATGGCGCTCGAGATTCTCTCCTTTAATGAAGCTCTCCCTCTCTCTCTCTCTCACCGCGCGCACGCGACGCGGTGGGTCTGGCGTTGCCTCGAATTTCGAAATCGCGGTAATTATAGACGATTCCGGCCGTAGGAGCAGTCATCATCGCCATCGTCATTATCATCGTCAGCCATCGAGCGAGAACGAACGAACGAGGCGAGAGAGAGAGAGAGAGAGATCGTCGCGCTCCGCAAATATACAATGGCGTCCCTAGCGCGCTCGTGTCGAAAAAAACACTACGTACTACGGTTTTCCGTACGGACGGGTGCACGCGCGCGTCCGAGTCGAAGACGACTCCGAGGGAGAGACTCGGGGGGTCGCTCGCATAGAGGAAATATGGAGTCCGGCGAACGGAGAGAAACGCCGGCCGGCGCGGCTTCCTTCGTTCTCTTTCTTTACGCGATAACGCGTAACTCCGTTCACGATGACGCGCAGTTGATCCGCGGAGCGGGAAAATCTCTCGAAAGCGTGTATCGTTATCGTCGTCGCCGTCGTCGTCGTTGTCGTCGTCGTCGTCGGAGATGACGGGGATCGGGGATGAATATGTATATCGTGATCAAAGGTACTCACCTCGGCCGACCTCTTGATCCCCTTTATGTCGCATTTCGCGTCCGCGGATGCCTTGTCGTTCTCCGTCACCTTCTCGACGGCGACCTCGTTATTCTCCTTGGTGCTCATGGTTCTGCCTGTGTGGACCTGGAAATCCCGGATAATCCAATGGAGAGACCCTCTCGCGGACTCGACTGCCGAACTCCCGGAGTTCGAAGGAGAGAGGCGACGACGGCGGCGACGACGACGACGACGACGACGGCGACGGCGAGCTTTACGAGCGTGTACGCGCAACGAGACTACGGATACGTGTCCTCTCACGACGTCGGTTTCCGCCGGAATGCCTAAGAGACGAGCGTCGTCAGGCGAAGACCCGAGGGGCCGCGAGGGAGAGGGAGAAAGGCGAAGCGGAGGGGGGATGGAAAGAGAGGGAGGGAGAGACCGAGGGGACGAAACGGGGGCGAGAGAGCGAGAGAGAGAGAGAGAGGGAGGCGGAGGAGCCCGAACCAGTCAGGCAGGAGTGTATTCCGACGACTGTGGCGCGAATAGCGCGAAGCGAAACTACTACCGGATCGGCTCGGCACGCGCTTCTACACGGCTCTCCTATAGCGCGAGGAGCGTGCCGCTTTGGAAAATGAAGATGGCGCAGTTTTGAGTGCCGATCATTCGCCGATTGGCCGCCGATTGGCCGCCGCGAGCGCCGATTTTCCGCGAGCGGCTGACGTTTCGCGGCACCGAGATCGCCCCGCGCGCGTCACGCGTCCGCCCGGACCGCGGATGGAATTAAAACTCGCGGACGACGAGGGGTTCGAGAGTTCGTGGCACGAGCGGGACGTCCGGTTCGAGGCTACGTCGCTCGATTCAAATAAGCCTTGGCGCTGCGCGACGCGACGCGACGCGACGCGACGCCTCGCCTCTCTTCTTCTCTCTTCTCTCTTCTCTTCCGCATCCTCCCGCGGCTTTTCGGCCACGCGCGCGCTCGCGTAAAATCGATAGATATATATATGTATGTATACATATATATATATATATATATATATATATATATATATATATATACGCACGTATTTTCATTCGCGAAAACGATCGCGCGATTCACGCCGCACGCGCGTGTTCCCGCGAACAAAGTGCGTGCGGATTAATCTGTATAGATACGAGAGACGAAATTCGCCGTTTCCTACCTTCTCCGAAGCGTATTTATATATACGTCATTATTACGTAATCCGTCTCGATTAATCGAGAAAAAATCATCCAGTTGCTCATTTCGCACACTTTTCGGGAGGATGAGACTTTCCCTCTTTAAAATCGATACATGTATATACGTACATATATATATATATATATATATATATATATACATTTATTGTTTAGCACACACGTATTATTATAATTGCGTGCATACATATATATATATAGATGTGTAGACGCACACGTGCGTTTCTCGTTGCATGTCATCATCGCATAGGATTGTTAGATGAGCGAGCAGATTGTTAGATTGAATCCGCCCCGCAGTTCTCTCCGTTTATTTATATCCCGCGAATAATAAAGGATAGCTTAATATAAGATCACTTATTGATTGGATGTTTTATATACCAATTTTCATGCCGGCTGTAGGTTAATGGCGTAAATCCGCGGTTTCGTCAACTGACGTTTCATTTGACAGTTCATATTTTTCCCTCTTCTCTTAGTTTAATAGAGAAATTTACAATTCGCGGAATATTATAGCATCAGCAGCGTCGTAGTACCTAGTATTTATGCATATGGAGTGCAAAAAATATATATATATTCAAGGTTCATGAATTTATTGCAACGAGAGAGAGAGAGAGAGAACATCCGCGCATGCGCGTCGCGCGCAGTTTCCCGTGCCTCGATTTCCGGTCGAATTGCGTTTCCCTTTTCTCGCTATACGTTCAAGATGGTAGGTTGATACGATGTTCCGAAGAATTTTTATCCGCGAATATCTTTGCGATCCTTCTGGTTTGACGTATCGCGAAATCCGCATCTGCGTCTAAAGTATATTCTCTAGAGTTTACTCGATATCTTCGAATTGACGTGTGCGATAATTGTGACGTGACAGATCATAACCTTCAAGCGAAACACGCATTTAATGTTTTGATTCGTCGCGATGTAGAAATTAAATTTCGCAAATCATTTAATTATGTACCCTTCGGAGACGAATGACGAATTATTAAATTTATTCGAAATTGTGATGTAATATTTATTCGAGCTTTCGATTCTTTACAGGTTAACGTACCGAAGCAAAGGCGTACTTTTTGCAAAAAATGCAAAGTACACAAGACTCACAAAGTTACGCAGTACAAGAAAAGTAAGGAGAGACATGCCTCGCAGGGCAGAAGACGTTACGATCGCAAACAGCAAGGTTTCGGCGGCCAAACTAAGCCTATTTTCAGAAAAAAGGTAAGCGCATACCACCCTATGTCAATTAAAAATATTTAAAGACAAATAACAATTTTGCACTATATTTATTAGTCAATGCACAATGTAGCAGTTTTAATAATACTAGGACTAAAAAATATTATTGCAAATTCTTTAATTAACATGCAAATTCATCAACGTTACTCTCTATCGTAATAGTCTAATGAGTTATTAATTAGTGTTCAAATGTCGATTCACAACATATATGCTTCAATAATACAGCAGATGCATTTATATCAAGAATAATTTTTGCTTTCTATTAAATCTATGTAATCACTAATCGTATTATATCGGTGAATAGGCAAAAACGACCAAGAAAATTGTACTGAGGATGGAATGTACGGAATGCAAGTACAGAAAACAAATTCCACTGAAGAGATGCAAGCACTTTGAACTGGGTGGTGACAAGAAGAGGAAGGTGAGTACAAATGTTTAGAGAAATAATCAAACCAAGATGAAACATTGAATTAATTTTGAATTAACAAAATTGTTTTTTTTTGTTTTCAGGGTCAAATGATTCAGTTCTAAATTATCCACTCAACGTTTTCAGCTTATTCTGTATTTGATAAGAAATAAATAAATCTACAGGAATTTGTATACATCTTTATTTGGATGATTTGTGTTCATGTGAAAATGTCCAACATGTCTACAACGAACAGCGTTAACACCTTAATATTTATTCACCTTGATTCTCACCGTTATCTGACGACCGTGGTATAGAAACTATCTGTTGTGGATTGCTAACAAGATAAGAAAAAGAGGTACTAAAATTATATATATATATCTCAGTATTTGCATTTCTTTTGTACCAGATGTGTAAAATAAATTTCAACTCTTGTGCACATATTTGACAGGAATATTAATCTTTTTTTTTTTCTTTTAAGTAGCAATGTGTGTTTCTCTTAATGATAAAAAATTAATAAAGAGAATCCAAGTTAAACTTTACAGTTAATATCTAAATGTGAATATTGAGATATTTAATGTTAAACATTACTAATGATGAAACGTTACAATGTATAAATGAAAAGTCATTGCACTTACTCCAATATAGACGCATCCAGTCCTTCCTGCTCCATCTTTAATTTAACTGCTTGTTTTGGTACACCAAAGTGTAACATTTTCAAGTATTTTTCATAGCGAGGATCTTTAGCTGCGGTTTGTACTTCCGGCTTTTCCTCTTTAGGCTCTATTTCACTGTTATCCACCTCGTCCACTTTGCGTACTTGTACTTGCTCCAATTTACTCGTATCATTCTCATTAACATTATCTGATTCTTTACAATGTTCTTGCTCTAAACCAGGTATAGAAGATAACTATGCAAAAGTAAAACGAAACATTGGAAAAATGTTAGACTCTAGATAATTTATTGCGCAAAGATTTTATTACAATTTTTCTAAACGCGCTTGCACAAAGTATTCACGTACCCGCGATTCTAGTATCTCTAAGGACGCTTCTAACTTTTGCAACTTATTTTCAAACTCGTACAGTCTCTCCTCGCAGCACAGGGCAAATTTATTCAAAAACGTAACGGTATGGGTAATAAAGTGATTTATGAAAGAGACGGTTCGTTTTTGGTTGATTGGCGGTACCTAGAATACAAATCATTTGAGGCCTGCTCCCTAACACTCGACCATCATCCCGTTAAAAGCATCTTAACGAACGTTATCGTTCTCGATGGGGATGTTTATGCGCGAGAAACATTAAAGATCTCATTGTCGACACCTTTGCGTAGTCTATCGTCGGCTCGATTATCGGTATCTTGTATTCACTCATCGTGGATTACAGTCGTGGAGTCGCCTCTGGTTGTCAGTTACCAAACTGTCAACTCCCCTCATCTTGCCTCACTACGCGCACCGGATATATGGAGAGTGGAAACCGCATCAGCGTCTCGAAGGTTCCGCGAAACGTCATCGAATCTGCGCATCGTCGAGGCGCTTAGCCTACCTTGCCGATGGAATTCTGGAATAAACGATAATTCTCGATTTCTAATTTGTTTTTACAAAATTCTACAAATAAATAAATATATATATATAATTAAATTATGTATATACGAAATTAAATTTCATTAATTATATAAAAAGATTTATTTATAACATATCATATGAAAAATTTATAAATTGAAAAAAAAAATATAAAAGAAGAAACGATTTTATATAATTTGATATTATTATTATTATAAAAGACTCTGTTTTCGTTACATTTGCATTGAAGGGCGATTACTTATATACACCCGTAAAGTGCGGATCATCTGTTCGTTGGAGCTGCACTCTTTTTCGCGGTACTTTTTTCCCCAAATTTCCACCTTTCCGTCATTCTTCTCTCGCATATACATATAAAAATACATGTATCACATATATGCTTATTTTTTACAATTTACATTTTATACTCGTAATTCGTACGTCTCGAGTGCGATGAGGTATGACTTGTGAGTAGAGGGAAATCGCTAGACCACTCACGAGGGTCGTCACGTCCCGTGCACGAGCGATCCAGTGGAGGTTAAGTTCTCGAAGGGGGCGAGAAAACGTCCGACCGCGGCTGCCGCGCGAGCGCATCTGTTCTGTCAACCGGGAGTCGGCTGTATGGAGATTTCGCGGTGCCCGAGTATTCTCTGAAGCATGGATTCCCCGCCGAGCCTGGAGACCGTCTACCAGGCCGTGTGCTCTTTATATAATAATACAAATCCGGCCGAACCAGGAAAAGCGTCGCTATGGCTGGGAGAATTGCAAAAATCGGTGAGGCTATACGCGATTTTATTTTACACTCGTGAGAACAATTTCCCCCCTTTTCATGATTTTTCTCGGTCTCCGCACTCGCTCTATTCGCCTCGAATACGAGGTTCCAGGTTTCTTTGCGTTTTCGGCAACGAGACTCAGGATGTCGGCAAGTTAACCTGAAAGGAGAAGAATGTGTTATTACTGGTTAAAAAATGTATTTTATATTGTGGTATAGTAAGCGAATTGTATTAAACATGAAATGTGACATTATATATCTTTTACTCATATTTTTTGTCTATTATATTCGGTGGATTTTTATCAATCCATTTAATTAGTAATCACCAGACTCTGCACAATATGTAAATCGGTTCATCAGATTTTGTAAAAAGAATTTATTATTTTGATACTTTTGTGTTGTTTTACAGGTATTTGCATGGAAGATTGCCGATGAAATGCTACATCAAAAGCGAAATATAGAGTCTTGTTACTTTGCTGCACAGACAATGCGTACTAAAATACAACTCTCTTTTCACGAATTACCTCAGGAGGCTCACGTTTCGTTAAGAGATTCCTTAATGGAACATATATCGCAAATTAATGAACATACTAATTCTGCTATTGTTACTCAGGTCTTTATACGTATTCTCATAATATTTTTGCATTTTTTTTTCAGTTTTCATTAATAATTCTAAATTTTCTTATTTACAGTTATGCTTAGCACTAGCAGATCTGGTCTTACAAATGCCGTCATGGCAGAAACCAGTGGTGGATTTAATTAATAGATTTGGAACAACTACTGCAAATCTCTGGCCATTGCTTGAAATATTGACAGTGCTCCCGGAGGAATCGGGTTCAAGATCGCTCAGGTATAGCAATATATCTCATTTATTTAATAAAAATATATAACAATCAAAGAATTATAATGGTTTCTATTTGTAAATAGGCTGGGAGCTAATCGTAGACATCATATGTCGCTTGAATTTAATGCAAGTGCAGATACTGTGACGGAATTTCTAGTACGTGTAATAACAATATTGCGTATAATTTTTCATCCGATATATATATACATATATATATGATGATGTATGAGGATGTTCTCATTATTTCAATGTTAGTTATTCAATATTTTCATATATAGTGTAATTGCAGAAAATGTGCCTAAAGAATGGCAGTGATAATGTACAAATTCGAGTGACTATTTTGCGATGTTTTACCAGTTGGATAACTGTACATGCAATACCACTTGAAGCTATACCCTCGAGTGATGTAATTGCTTATGCCTTGCAAGTGAGTCTCTTAAAGTTTACAAGCTTTCGCAAGAAATCAATTATTTTCTGTTCTTTTAATCGCGAATAATTTCACCTTATAGGTACTTAGCAATCACATGGCTGGTTCGCAATTGCACGAAACGGCTACCGACTGCATCTGCGTAATTTTGCAGACACTAGGTGAAGACACCAATCGAATCAACAACAGCGCAAGTGCAATTGCACAAGTTCAATTGCAGCAAGTGCAATTATGTATCTTCACAAGTGTGATGAATTTAGAACAGCCATATCACTTATCTGTTGCCCACGAGGATATGGAAAAGTAAATTTTTCGATATATTCAAGAGTATATTTGTAGCACAAAACTGCAGTTATTAAATATATTACAGATCTATAAATTACTGTCGAATATTCACGGAATTGGGCGAAACGTTCCTAGAACTTATGGTAGCAGGTAGCGAAGGTGGAGAACAGTTTTATGCTACACAAATTTTGGACCTTGTTCTCACATGCGTTGGTCATCATGATTATGAGGTAAATACAAATGTATAAATTTTGTTTCAATGTTACTAAATGAAAACTTTTTCTTGAATTAAAATGTCTTCATTACTGACTATGTAACAACTTTTGTTAAGGTTGCCCAGATAACTTTTAACCTGTGGTATCGACTATCAGAAATTCTTTATCAGAAAAATAGTGACGATCTTAATACTGTATTTCGACCACATATCGAGAGATTGATCGGTGCCCTTTGCAGGCACTGCCAAATGGAACCAGACCATGTCAGTATTACTAGAACTTTATTAAATAATAGCAATATTATCTGATACAGGCAATAGATTGATAATTATAAAAATTTACATATTAATTGTCAGTTGGGTCTCGTGGAAGAAGGAGGAGGAGGAGAAGAATTTGCCGACTTTCGAAATCGCGTATCGGATTTGATAAAAGACGTGGTGTTTGTAGTTGGAAGTAGCCACTGTTTCCGACAAATGTTCTCGTCGTTGACTGGAGGACCTGGACCACAGGGTCAACCTGTACATACACCCACCTGGGATTCCACTGAGGCTGCGCTTTTCGTAATGCAAGCAGTGGCGAAAAACATTCTGCCGTATGTTCTTTCTATTCTTTTATTATGAAGCAAAGCCACTTGGAGATTAAACATAATAATGACAAATTTTGTACAACAGAGAAGAAAATGACGTAGTTCCGAAAGTGGTAGAAGCTATTCTTAATTTACCAGAAAATACCCACATAGCTGTACGCTATACCAGTATTCTTCTATTAGGTGAGCTATGTGAATGGATAGATAGGCATCCGCAATCGTTAGGTAAGATAGACATTTGCCATTAATTTAAATATTTTTGTTTCAATATAATATTGATATATAATATATATCAGAATTTTCCATTATTTCAGAACCAGTGTTAAATTTCCTCTTAGCATGTTTAAATCAAAAGGGTTTAGGAACTGCTGCCTCGGGTGCACTATTGAGCATATGTACAGTTTGTACGTCACATATGGCCTCGCACTTTTCTGGATTTTTGCAAATAGCACGTTCCCTCGACAATTTTCCCATCAGTAACGATGCAGCGATTGGCCTACTGAAAGGTATTATTTAATGAATTGCATTATTCATAAACACTATTACGACTCACATTAACGAAATTAAACGAGAAGCTCTATTTCTATCATATGTGTGTCGTGACAGGAGTGTCGATAATTTGGCGAGATTACCACCCGAGGAAATTACTACGGCAATGCGGGAATTGTGCTGTTTTCAAGGGAGTTCCTTATGGGCACTTCTCGCGGATAATATTCCAATCGAGAGAGGAACCAAGACTGATCCTGTGATATGGCTGGATAGATTAGCTGCTATATTTAAGCACACTAATCCTCAAATCGACGATAGTAATCCTCATCCTTGTCAAACTGTGGTCATTGAAGTGAGTGTTGTTAAAGACGAAAAGTTTTTGTAAGATATATTAGTAACATGTTATCGTGTACCTTTCAATCATGCCATTATTTGTGCCGTTATAGATGTGGCCAGTATTATCGAATGTGTGCGAACGATATCAACGGGATGTGAGAGTCATGGAGAGATGTTGCCGTTGCATACGTTTTGCGGTACGCTGCATAGGCAAATATTCTGCTCATTTGCTAGAACCGATTGTGAAACAGGTATTAATTGTCGACCGTGTCATATTAATAATACCATTTTCTTTTACTTTTACTCGATGCATATAAATCGTTTTTGTCCTCACATAGATTGTACCGTTATACACGGTAAATCAACATAGTTGTTTTTTGTATCTTGGCTCCATATTGGTGGACGAATACGCGACTGACTCGGAATGCGTATGGAATTTGTTAAATATGTTACAAGCTTTTATCGGCCCCACTTTTGCCCTCCTCGAACAAGAAGATGGCTTGAAAATCATCCTGACACAGTAGATGATTTATTCAGGTTATGCGCCAGGTGATTAATTAAACAATATTACTATTACATCTGTCAATGATTTCATGCGATATCGTAATGTTTCGTTTCTTTTTACACAAAAGGTTTCTTCAGAGAGCTCCTGTCCCTTTATTACATTCTCCCGTTATCAGGAGCATTGTAGATTGCGCTATAATGGCTTGCAGTTTGGATCACCGAGACGCCAACGGTTCAGTGATGAAATTCTTTTACGATCTCTTACATAGCGGCCGCGGTTATAAGGTAATTCTTTAAACGCATTGAGAATAAACATTACAATAAAATTCTTTCGCATTTAAATCTCAATTATGTCATATTTTTCATATCTACATTTAGGATCGATCAGATTACACGATACGGCGACAGTTGGTGCAAAATATATTGCAAGAAAAAGGCCAAACAATAGTTACAAAATTACTACGTGCTTCAGTATTTGAGCTCTCTTCTTACATGATACCTGACGTAACTGAAGTTTTTATAGAACTTACTCGAAATGAGCCAGATGTAAGATTTATTCATCAGTTTTTAAAATATTTTTTTTTTTTTCACGCATCTCACATACATATTTTTCAGCTTATGTCGAAATGGCTAACAGAAGCTATGCTGACGATGCCGCTGCAAAACGCAGGCGGAGCTCCTACAGCCACATGCGAACAATTTACTGAATTTCACAATACAGTTACGAGGTACGTAGCACATAATAGATTAGTGAAAAAAATGTAGTGCTTAATTTTTTATATTCATATCTTTTTATTTTCTCCGATATTTAGGTCAGAAACACCAAAAACTGTTCAGCATGCCCTACGAAATTTCGCACGTCTGTACCGCTAATACGTATTTATATATACCTACACATATATAATTGTATATATATATATATATAAATATATATTATATATGTAATTGTATATGTATATAAATATATATACATGAATATAATACATATATATCATTATATATATTATATGTATTATATATATATATATATATATGTATATGTATGTGTGTGTATACACACACACACACATTTAAATTTCTTAAAAATTATTTACATTATTGACATCTTCCAGCGAGTTTCGATTACTATGTCAGGAATAAAAAATCTCGAAACAGTGAAATATGACATGTGAGTCTTACGAGCGGCTGTAGAACCATTATGAAAGAAACTTGGATTTTTATATTTTTATATTATCTATAGTTATGTTTGCAAAATAATTTTATTGATATATATACGTTAGATTTTTGTTTACAAGTACAAGTTTTTACAGCATCTACCAGAAAATTCTTTATATTTCTTTTATCTTTATTTTTAACAGTTCTTTAATTGATCTCCATAGAAGCAATATCTATACAATATCTATTAGTAGATATAGACAAATATTTATATGTGTATAAAGAAGTTCTTTTTGATTTTAATATAATCAATATTTTTTTAATATAATCTTTTTTTAGAAAAATAAAAAAAAATTAAATACTTTGCAGACATACTATAAATAATAAAGGTGGACAAAATTCATGAAAGCGATATGTGTGTGCTAATGATTATAAATAAATGCCGAGTTAATTATATTTATGCGTGACAGATTCTATTAATTAACTGCAAATATTTTATAATATTTTTAAATATCTCGACTACACTATTTTCACCGTAATTATATTTACGTATTATAAAAAGAAACTAGTCGTTTCCAATAAGAATAATTAATGGCATTTGTTCGCATGGCTAATAATATCTGAAAAGCACACATCTCAAAACTAAAATACATTTTAATTAGACATTTGCAAATATATTATAATATATCCAATAAATCTAAAAAATTAATACAAATTTTTAAAATTTATGTCTATAAACTTTGATTAAAGACGGAGGTTTATGTAGAAAAATTAATTAAACACAACCAATCGTTAATTTTGATTTAATATTACAAATATTTATTAAACACGGTTCTAAATTAATTATAATTACTACTTTATTTATTTAATTTTTAAGATACAAGCTGATAAATTTTTCTAATTTATATCTATTGTAGTATTTATAGTAAAGAAAATTCTCTTGCAATTACATTGATACACGCAAATGTAATTATTCATATAACAAATTTGAGAAATTTATACAAATTTTTCCATGTTTACATATATAAAATACATCTGTAGAGTAAAAATATGTATTTTAAGTATATTTTAAAGATTGTATAATACACATATAATAGCAGGCAAGATACAAGTAAGAGACATCACCTTACTGTGTGTTACTGCAATACATTCGCGAACGATGATAATGATAGTCATTTATCGATAAATGAGTATGAAAATAATTGTTATATTGTCTTACGCTCTGAATCTAATGTTTAAGTGTACAGATCGTTTACATACGACAAATATGAGATGCCGCTCTTCTTTCGTGGAATGTTAATGTACAGAATGAAATAATTGATTAAGAATTAAGCAACACAATAGAGAACGAAATGTTTATAATGTACTACTACTATTGCATACGATATAACGCGTCGATGTTAAAGCTCGTTAAATTCTCGACAACAGTATTTCTGCGAATACTGTTCGATGTAGCATTTACGTTGAGCGCTAATCGTCATTTTGTTTCATAGTAATCTTTCGATGAAGTTTCGATGAATAAAGTGATATTTTTTACGGAAACGTACACTTTTCAGTTATAGAATATTAGATGCTTCGGTAGCCACGAAATCGACAATCTAGCATTAGATAGCTCCGGAGAAGCTTCGGTGCCGTTGTTCTTCGGCCACGTGGAAATCGAGCACGGCCAGGTGGATCGATCGTGACGCGATAATGCGCCACACTGATTGTCGGGAGACGCATCAGTGACAAAAAAAAATCTGTTTCCGAGGTCGCCAGCTGCGCGATGCACCGTTCGTTGGAGCGACGCGTTCTCGGTTGCAAGGTGAGCCGGAAATATTCGAGCTGCCGGGAGGGAAGACGAGCGTGCGCGCAGGTGCCGGGCGTTCGAGTCTCGCTTCTTTTTCCTTTTCGCATAAGATGGTGGCACGATATCACCACGTCCGCCGATGCATGCTCGAGTGATACGCCGAAACTGTCTTGCGGCTCCACCTGAAAATATTTCATATTAATTATGATCATTATTTGATCGCAATCTTGAGATGCATCTTTTACGCTGACATCTCGCATAGATAAAAAAGACAGCGATAAGTATATGCAAAAAAAAATTGTTGCGTTCATTTGGAGCATTATGCGCGGTATCCATCTCATTTACTTCACGTGACTTTTTTATCTGCAATTTTAATCTCCACGCTAAAAACTTTCTCTATATTTAATATGCAGAATTGGCCGAAGAATAAATCGAAGAGATTCGAGAGAGCGAGACAGGCTTCTCGGAAGGCATCTTGCACGCGTCGGCAGAAAAATTCTAGCATATCCGATTTACGGTATCGTAGAAAACAGTGATTCTAAGAATTGAGTAAACAGCGTCAGCGGTTGGATGCGGGTTCGGATATGCCGCGTCCTCCGTCAGGACATTGCTGGCGGTCTCGGTGCCTGAGTCACTCGGCGGCGGTCGCGTTATGAGTCAGACGCGTCAGACAGGCCTTATTGGCTAAGGAATTGGTTTCTAACAAAGGAATGTTGTTGCAAGCAGCCGTGCTGCGGTCGTCTTCGCGACGCTTTCTCCATTCACTCGTCGCTCCAACGACGAAAATACACGCGCGCGCTTATCAATCTTTAATATTACATTAATCCTACATGTATGCACACGATTCCGCAAAACGATAGCCATGTATACACTCAGTAAAACCGAGAACAAGATGACGCGTCTTGTTTCAACAAACCTTCATGTTTATACATGTATATTTTTTTTGTAACTCGAAACAATTTTATATATGTATATACATATATCGTCTTTGGTACCTTCAATCAGAATATCATATCACGTCCCCATTTCGACACATTGGGCTAATCGCAGACTCCCGCGTGCATATTAAGGTGCGATTACTCACGTCGACGAATATTCCCGAACCCTGTCCCAGGCCGAATGTCCACGCGTGCGTCATATGTCTCGTCCCCGCGATTGTGACGACGACGGCTATCGACGCCCACTCCGACATACGTGTGCGAGGGTGTGCGTGCGTCGTCGTCCTCGTCGTTGTTGTCTATCAATAAAGACCCTACTTGCGGACATTGACGGCACGTCTGTATATTATATATATATATACGTATGACGACACCCGTACATATCTGCGTCAACATTATCGCGGTACCATTCACGGCTTTTCACGGTACGAACGCACGTGTCGCGTGACGTTTAGCAAAAATGAGAGAGAGAGACGGAAAATGAAGAAAAACTGGAAAAGCGAAAGGGTAGGCAGGTAGGTAAGCAGTTGCCTAGAGGACATTTTCCGGGACATTGTCCGACCGTTTTAGAGAACTGCAACTTTACTCGGCACGCAGCATTGTGCGCCCTTTCAGGACGCACAAACGTTTGTTAACAAAACAAAAAAAAAGGGAGAAAGAGAAAACTTTTCGCCTACGCCATCCTTCGATTCTATGCGCCAAAGCGGACAAAAGCCACATCCTCCCTGGCACGTGGAATGACGGGGTGTCGTCTACCTGCCCGCTTCTTCGAGAAGAAAGAAGAAAGTATCCCAGCAAACACAGTATATAAATGTTATATACTCAAGCATGTTACATGTAACGTATATGTTAGTTGTAATTTCTCACTCATAGATGTAACATTTTAATATAACATATATTACATTGTAGTTATATTATAATTATATACCAAATAGCACATTGATGTATTGATAAGTCAGTGCTATCTTGGGATATACTGACAATATAACTACAATATAACTACATGTAATATATGTAATATTAAAAATGTTACATCTATAAGTGGGAAATTACAACTAACATATACGTTACATGTAACATGCTTAAGTATATAACATTTATATACTGTGTTTGCTGGGTCCCTTTCTTCCCCATCCACCACGGCACGAGTTCACGAACGTGGATGCACCTGAAAGAGGAAAAAGTCATTGTTGACGGACGTCTACTTAAAATCTCGCAAAATAAATTCTTAATAATATATATATACCATATATTTTAATATTATTGCAAAATTGAGTGTCGCGCGGTAAAATTATCAGTTACATCAAACGAGTCATTTTTCGACTTTTGCGCAACCATGCGCGATATCAAACAACCTCATTCGCGCTGCAAGCGGGGGATGCGCCTCCCTTCTTCTGCCCTTTCTGCAGTAACCAACGTGGAGGGGTGAAAGGAAAGGGGGAAACATGGTTCTCCTTCGTTGTCGCTAATGCAAGCAATTATTTTTCGCGAGTCTCGACACGAGTTTGTAATCTCTACCATATGCGATTCACCGCGTTCCAGAGAGAGAGAGAGAGAGAAAATTAACAAGATTTGTAGCGATCCTCCCTTTCCTCTCCTCTCGGCGTCTTTGACCGACACTGGAAGTAATTTTGCAGAAACGGGGATTTGACCAGGAGGTTTCCCGGATAAGAAATATCAGCCATCGTACATTCCCACCGCTAATAAACGCGTACTTCAACCTCCTCCGTGGTACCAGTTCGGCTAATTGACCGGGTTAAGCAATTACGAGCGACCCCGCTAATTGAATCGCCGCCTGATAATCGGCGTCCGTGAGTCAAAGCCGGCTGCGAGTGACTCATGCGAAAACGTTGACGTGTTTCGAGAAGTGACACTCTCTTCTCGTCAGCTGATTAATCATCGATACAAAAATAAGTACTGTCGAATGTACACGAGTTGGATATGTGTCGCAAAATAGACACCTTTGGTTCGCCAATATTATATTCTTCGACGTTTTTCAACCATCTTCCCTTTACTCGATATATATATATATATATATATATATATATATATACATTCGATATATTTTTATCGCAAACGTTAATAAAAGCCTCGCTCCCTTGTTAAAGTTAACGGAGAAACGGCCTTTAGATAACGTGTTTCTCGCAAATATATACGTATATTGCCACGTGGATAGCTCGTTGAACACACAATCTTAAAACGGTACTCTAATTAAAGCTATATGGGACAGAGTTAAAGATAACAGTCTTATATACCGAAGATAGTTCCGTGACGACTAATTAACGGGCAAAATCCGACTCCGTTAAATATAGACCCGGGGTTCTAAAATATACTCTCCTTCACATTTATCGCCAAGTATCCGGGACGCTCGATAAGCAAAGTCCCATATGTTCGCGGTGTCTGACGTGTCTCGGCGAGCGAAAACAAGTACACGATAATGACAATTTGACAAAACCAAACAAAAAGTGTTCCGGCAAGAGCTTTTTACCAGGAATGTCGCATGTAATTAAACATGGCCGCGAGCTTAATGGATAAATGATAGAATGCGTCGCGCCGCCGAAGGTTAAGCCGCGTCTAGTCTCGCGCGAGCAGGGTGATGATTTCTCTGCGTCGCTCGAGGTTTCGCGGGCTCTCGAGATCGCCGCTGGCTGGATGCACCCTCTTCCCGCATCGATGCCGGTGTCGAGGCAGGCAGCGCCGCGCGTTGCCGGGCAACCAGACCAGACCAGACCGCCAGCCGTCTGTGTGCCGATCGGTTGGCCAGTGCGCGAGAGATCGCGCGCCGCCAGACGAGGAGAACCATATCGGAGGGCAAAAGGGCCGTCGTAGTGGGGAGGAAAAGGGCGCCGGAGGGGACGATCTCGCGCGAACCTTCGAGAGCGCACAATGAAGGGGCTGCGCGCGGATTCAGACGGGCGCAAAGTGGGGGAAAAAAGTGCAGCGCGACACCGAGGAAGGGGGTGAGTTTGGAGGGGAAAAAGGGGTAGCTCTCTTTTTCTCTCTCTCTCTGCGGATCCGGCAGGGTCGGAGCGCCAGAGGGTGCCGAGGAAAAATGAATATTCGTCAAAATGATTTCGGAGCCGGCGACTCTGTATTAGGAGAGAGAATTGCTTTTTTATTTTTTATTTTTTTTTTTTTTTTTTTTCGACGGGAATACAATCGATGATCCCTCTCGTCGCACTCTCTCTCTCTCTCGACATTTTTTTTTATTTCGCTTTTATTTCGCGACGGCGTTGTAACCAGATTGCTCGTGGACCAATACTAGTCTCGGACGAATTTCACGAGGATGAATTGGTCGGACGACGACGAGCTTGCTCGCGGTTTCTTGCTGGTCGAATTATAGCGCGACGCTTTAATAAGGGAGGATAATTCGCGAGAAGACGTATCGCGTGCCAAGAACTTTGCGGAAAACGGGTAATTTAATTCGGGTGAGTAATCAAATGGAGATATATATATATATATATATATATATATATATATATGCATATATACGCGGAATACTGCGATATAAAAATCAAATTTAATCGGTTTATCAATAACAACCGTGGAAATCGATCAACAGGCCATTGAGGGAGAGAGAGGATTAGTTGAATATGGAAATTAAATCCGCGACGTGCTCACAATATCAATTACAATTGGAGGCAGACAACGATTACACGATCTCGTTTTGCGGATTATCAAGGCCGTCATCAAATATATATATATATATATATGTTTGATAATAAATAAGAAAGCCGGAAAAAATAAATCTTTCGGAAAGTAGAATCCAAAGACACTCCGTTATTAATATTTGCAATTCGTTTCGAATGAAAATAAAACTTTTGCTCGCAATATTCCTTCGACAAACTCCTTTCGAGCCGTCAATTATTGACACATCTTTCTCTTTATTCGAAAAGCTAAACACCGCTCGCGGCGTTTAGATTTCCGCGCTTGGAATCGGCAAACGCGAAGCTGCAGAGACCGGGGAAATAATAAATAAAGACGAAAGGCGTGTATATCTCTCTGGTAAATGAGCAATCGGGCCGCGCATGCGATCGCGCCGTTCCTGGCCGGATAGAGGAGCGCAGGGTCCAAAGAGAGAGAGAGAGAGATGATTGGTAGAGGGAACCGACGACCGCGTCGACGAAGTGTCAGGGGCGGCCGGGCCAGACGAGGCGAGGTCAGTTATCCGCCACGCCCGACGTCGACGTCGTCGACGACCTCTCTCTGGCGCGTTGCGTTTTCGGCGACGGCGCTAATTTTTTTTTTTTTTTTTTTTTTTTTTTTACCTTCCCACGATCAATCTCCCTCTAAGGTCGCCACCTTTTTCCCCAGTCTTTCATTGTTTTCCGATCATCGGACTTTGCGTTTTTGCTCTACAGATCTTTCCCCGCCTCTTTGTCATTTAATTTCCAGCTTCCTGGTTGTTATTATTATTATTATTACTGCGCAAATGTCTTTCCTACAATCGCGATGTCTGTTTGAAATTGCATCAAACATCGAAGAATGATTCGGGGTGTCCAGCAGATTCAATGAAGAAAATTCCCTGACTTTTTAGTATTATTTTTTCCAAATGTATCATTTGCATATATCTATATGATGAATCAATTAAACGTTGAATCTTGAAATCCTTGAGATACAATCTGCATTATGTACGATAATCGAAACAAATATAATATCACTATAAACTATTTAAATAATCACCTTTTTTTATTTATATTATATAGGTATATCAAATTTTTTAGTTCTGTCTTTATCAAATACATTGAAATAACACAACGATGAAAATATAAATGAACGAACACACTGTAGATGAATCGATTTTGAACAACACAGAAAATTAGCGTGCTGGGAGTCAAGAAAGAGTTGATAAAAAGTTTCAACATATTGAGACAAATGTAGAATAATGTGAACAAATCCAGATAAATATTCAAATTTCCTGACTTTTTTTCACTGACATTTCTAGATTTATAAAATTCCTCTTTAAGCACTAATTTTAAATATTTATATATTTTTGATACTTAATAAATAGATCGCGTATTTCCTCGATTTTTCGGGGAAAAAAAGGGAGGCGAGATGTGTTCCAAGGAACAATACACGAATGCCCTTTTCCCTAGCCTTTCCTCCTGTCACGAGCCTCAGCGAGGACACCGCCTATCATGACATTTAAGATCGATGCGAATAATGCACCGCGCTCGCGCGAATCACTCGGATTCCGCGGAATGACCATCGTCCGTTCGCTTGCAATCGAGAGGACCGATATTTCCGATTGCTCACTCTCCTCCCCCGTGCACACACACATATATATATATATATATATATATATATATATATATAATCGTCATGCGACGAGGATCGAGAACTTCTCTCCGCCGAGTCGCCCGTGAACGCGCGCGCGCGCGCGATCGATGCCGAAGTGCATTTCCGGTGGGTGGGGAAACGACACACCGTTTCAGTCGGTCGGTGCATGCACCTCCCTAATTTTCCATACAGCCGAAAATGGACGGATAATGGGCACGGAAGTGCAAATCTCATCCTCTCTCTCGCTCTCTTTTATATATATATATATATTGCTCGAATATATACGAGATCTGCCTTACTTTGTAATGGCAAAATAAATTTGTATTTTATTTCGTTTAGCGATCGATGTATTTAAAAAAAAATTCTCATGATTATATTTCCTTTGATTTGACAAATCATTAATTTTCGTTTTTCTCGTCTTATAATAAATCGAAATTTGCAACACTTCGACCGAAACAACGTATAGAGATTATTACGCGCGTGTCCTAAAGAAGGTCGCGTAGCGGCCTCTCTTTGTAGCGGAGAGGTATTCGAATCTTCCTTTGTCTGTCGTGAAAACTGATATATATGCGCGCAGCTTGAAACGCGCTGCAACTTATGGTTAACTGTCCTTCGGCGTTATCGGAAATGCAATTGAAGAATGGAAACGTCGGAAGACGTCTACACACTAAAAGCCTCGCCGATATACCTGCACGCGCATACATCTATACATACATATACACATACGGGGCTCCTCGGTATTTCCACTCTGCTTTATCTCCGCTTGTGTGTCCTTTTGGAAATCTACCGCAACGCGTGTCACAGCGGTATCGATTCGCCGCGCACGTTTCTCTTTATCGCGACGCGTTTCTGCAGCGCGGTTTGTATATATGTGCATGCATGCATACC